AGGTCGGTCAGTATGGGAACTTAGAGTGCAAATGCCAGGGAGAACGGAACCGCTCAGATCTCGCATAGTACACGGAATCTAGTGGTCACACTCAAATAGAAGGTAGGAAATATATTCATCTAGTGAACGTAAGGGTTTGATAGGTAACTAACGCACATGTGTAGAGAAAATGGTGCATCGGCCAGTCTGGCCGGCATTTCGCACTTATAGTGCAAGTAGGGCCAAGGAGAACGGAAACGCTCATTTCTCAAAAAGTAAAGGGAATCTAGCGGTCTCACTCGATCAGAAGGTGGGAAATATATAAATCTAGTGAGCTAATAAGGTTCGGAAGGAATCTATTGCATATGTATATGGAAAGTGGTGCAGTGGCCAGGTCGGTCAGTATGGGAACTTAGAGTGCAAATGCCTGGGAGAACGGAACCGCTCAGATCTCGCATAGTACACGGAATCTAGTGGTCTCACTCAAATAGAAGGTAGGAAATATATTCATCTAGTGAACGTAAGGGTTTGAAAGGTAACTAACGCACATGTGTAGAGAAAATGGTGCATCGGCCAGTCTGGCCGGCATTTCGCACTTATAGTGCAAGTAGGGCCAAGGAGAACGGAAACGCTCATTTCTCAAAAAGTAAAGGGAATCTAGCGGTCTCACTCGATCAGAAGGTAGGAAATATATAAATCTAGTGAGCTAATAAGGTTCGTAAGGAATCTAATGCATATGTATATGGAAAATGGTGCATTGGCCAGGTCGGTCAGTATGGGAACTTAGAGTGCAAATGCCAGGGAGAACGGAAGCGCTTAGATCTCGCATAGTACACGGAATCTAGTGGTCTCACTCAAATAGAAGGTAGGAAATAAATTCATCTAGTGAACGTAAGGGTTTGAAAGGTAACTAACGCACATGTGTAGAGAAAATGGTGCATCGGCCAGTCTGGCCGGCATTTCGCACTTATAGTGCAAGTAGGGCCAAGGAGAACGGAAACGCTCATTTCTCAAAAAGTAAATGGAATCTAGCGGTCTCACTCGATCAGAAGGTGGGAAATATATAAATCTAGTGAGCTAATAAGGTTCGAAAGGAATCTAATGCATATGTATAGGGAGATTGGTGCATTGGCCAGGTCGGTCTGTATGGGAACTTAGAGTGCAAATGCCAGGGAGAACGGAAGCGCTCAGATCTCGCATAGTACACGGAATCTAGTGGTCTCACTCAAATAGAAGTTAGGAAATAAATTCATCTAGTGAACGTAAGGGTTTGAAAGGTAACTAGCGCACATGTGTAGAGAAAATGGTGCATCGGCCAGTCTGGCCGGCATTTCGCACTTATAGTGCAAGTAGGGCCAAGGAGAACGGAAACGCTCATTTCTCAAAAAGTAAAGGGAATCTAGCGGTCTCACTCGATCAGAAGGTGGGAAATATATAAATCTAGTGAGCTAATAAGGTTCGGAAGGAATCTATTGCATATGTATATGGAAAGTGGTGCAGTGGCCAGGTCGGTCAGTATGGGAACTTAGAGTGCAAATGCCTGGGAGAACGGAACCGCTCAGATCTCGCATAGTACACGGAATCTAGTGGTCTCACTCAAATAGAAGGTAGGAAATATATTCATCTAGTGAACGTAAGGGTTTGAAAGGTAACTAACGCACATGTGTAGAGAAAATGGTGCATCGGCCAGTCTGGCCGGCATTTCGCACTTATAGTGCAAGTAGGGCCAAGGAGAACGGAAACGCTCATTTCTCAAAAAGTAAAGGGAATCTAGCGGTCTCACTCGATCAGAAGGTGGGAAATATATAAATCTAGTGAGCTAATAAGGTTTGAAAGGAATCTAATGCATATGTATATGGAAAATGGTGCATTGGCCAGGTCGGTCAGTATGGGAACTTAGAGTGCAAATGCCAGGGAGAACGGAACCGCTCAGATCTCGCATAGTACACAGAATCTAGTGGTCTCACTCAAAAAGAAGGTAGGAAATAAATTCATCTAGTGAACGTAAGGGTTTGAAAGGTAACTAACGCACATGTGTAGAGAAAATGGTGCATCGGCCAGTCTGGCCGGCATTTCGCACTTATAGTGCAGGTGGGGCCAGGGAGAACGGAAACGCTCGTTTCTCAAAAACTAGAGGGAATCTAACGGTCTCACTCGATCAGAAGGTGGGAAATATATAAATCTAGTCAGCTAAAAAGGTTTGAAATGTATTCAACGCACATGTATAGAGAAAATGGTGCATTGGCCAGGTCGGTCAGTATCGGAACTTAAAATGCAAATGCCAGGGAGAACGGAAGCGCTCAGATCTCGCATAGTACACGGAATCAAGTGGTCTCACTCAAATAGAAAGTAGGAAATATAATCATCTAGTGAACGGGTCTGAAAGGTAACTAACGCACATGTTTAGAGAAAATTGTGCATCGGGCAGTCTGGCCGGCATTTCGCACTTATAGTGCAACTAGGGCCAAGGAGAACGGAAACGCTCATTTCTCAAAAACTAGAGGGAATCTAGCGGTCTCACTCGATCAGAAGGTGGGAAATATATAAATCCACGTCTCCGTCCACGTCCACGTCCACGTCCACGTCCACGACCATGTCCACGTCCACGTCCACGTCCACGTCCATGTCCACGTCCTCGTCCATGTCCACGTCCACGTCCAGGTCCATGTCCACGTCCACGTCCACGTCCACGACCGCGTCCACGTCCACGTCCACGTCCACGTCCACGTCCACGTCCACGTCCACGTCCATGTCCAAGTCCACGTCCACGTCCACGTCCACGTCCACGACCACGTCCACGTCTACGTCCACGTCTATGTCCACGTCCACGTCTACGTCCACGTCTATGTCCACGTCCACGTCCACCTCCACGTCCATGTCCACGTCCACGTCTACGTCCACGTCTATGTCCACGTCCACGTCTACGTCCACGTCTATGTCCACGTCCACGTCCACCTCCACGTCCATGTCCACGTCCACGTCCATGTCCACGTCCACGTCCATGTCCACGTCCACGTCCACGTCCACGTCCACGTCCACGTCCACGTCCAGGTCCACGTCCACGTTCACGTCCACGTCCACGTCCATGTCCACGTCCTCGTCCACGACCACGTCCACGTCCACGTCCACGTCCACGACCATGTCCACGTCCACGTTCACGTCCACGTCCACGTCCACGTCCACGTTCACGTCCACGTCCACGTCCACGTCCACGTCCACGTCCATGTCCATGTCCACGTCCACGTCCAGGTCCATTTCCACGTCCACGTCCTCGTCCACGTCCATGTCCACGTCCACGTCCACGTCCACGTCCACGTCCACGTCCACGTCCATGTCCACGTCCACGACCACGTCCACGAACATGTCCAAGTCCACGACCACGTCCACGTCCACGTCCACGTCCACGACCACGTCCACGTCTACGTCCACGTCTATGTCCACGTCCATGTCCACGTCCACGTCCAGGTCCACGTCCACGTCCACGTCCACGACCACGTCCACGTCCACGTCCACGTCCACGTCCACGTCCATGTCCACGTCCAGGTCCACGTCCACGTCCACGTCCACGTCCACGACCACGTCCACGTCCACGACCACGTCCACGTCTACGTCCACGTCCACGTCCACGTCCACGTCCACGTCCACGTTCACCTCCACGTCCATGTCCACGTCCACGTCCACGTCCACGTCCACGTCCACGTCCACGACCACGTCCACGTCTACGTCCACGTCTATGTCCACGTCCACGTCTACGTCCACGTCTATGTCCACGTCCACGTCCACCTCCACGTCCATGTCCACGTCCACGTCTACGTCCACGTCTATGTCCACGTCCACGTCTACGTCCACGTCTATGTCCACGTCCACGTCCACCTCCACGTCCATGTCCACGTCCACGTCCATGTCCACGTCCACGTCCATGTCCACGTCCACGTCCACGTCCACGTCCACGTCCAGGTCCACGTCCACGTTCACGTCCACGTCCACGTCCATGTCCACGTCCACGTCCACGACCACGTCCACGTCCACGTCCACGTCCACGACCACGTCCACGTCCACGTCCACGTCCACGTCCACGTCCACGTCCACGTCCAGGTCCCCGTCCACGTTCACGTCCACGTCCACGTCCATGTCCACGTCCACGTCCACGACCACGTCCACGTCCACGTCCACGTCCACGACCATGTCCACGTCCACGTTCACGTCCACGTCCACATCCACGTCCACGTTCACGTCCACGTCCACGTCCACGTCCACGTCCACATCCATGTCCATGTCCACGTCCACGTCCAGGTCCATGTCCACGTCCACGTCCACGTCCATGTCCACGTCCACGTCCAAGTCCACGTCCACGTCCACGTCCACGTCCACGTCCATGTCCACGTCCACGACCACGTCCACGAACATGTCCAAGTCCACGACCACGTCCACGTCCACGTCCACGTCCACGTCCACGTCCACGACTACGTCCACGTCTACGTCCACGTCTATGTCCACGTCCGTGTCCACGTCCACGTCCAGGTCCACGTCCACGTCCACGTCCACGTCCACGACCACGTCCACGTCCACGTCCACGTCCACGTCCACGTCCACGTCCATGTCCACGTCCACGTCCACGTCCACGTCCACGTCCACGTCCACGACCACGTCCACGTCCACGACCACGTCCACGTCTACGTCCACGTCCACGTCCACGTCCACGTCCACGTCCACGTCCACGTTCACCTCCACGTCCATGTCCACGTCCACGTCCACGTCCACGTCCACGTCCACGTCCAGGTCCACGTCCACGTCCACGTTCACGTCCACGTCCACGTTCACGTCCACGTCCACGTCCACGTCCACGACCACGTCCATGTCCACGTCCACGTCCACGTCCACGTCCACGTTCACGTCCACGTCCATGTCCACGTCCACGTCCACGTCCAGTCCATGTCCACGTCCACGTCCACGTCCACGTTCACGTCCACGTCCACGTCCACGTCCACGTCCACGTCCACGTCCACGTCCATGTCCACGTCCTAGTCCTCCACGTCCACGTCCACGACCACGTCCACGTCCACGTCCACGTCCACGACCACGTCCACGTCCAGATCCACGTCCACGTCCACGACCACGTCCATGTCCACGTCCACGTCCACGACCACGTCCACGTCCAGATCCACGTCCACGTCCACGTCCACGTCCATGTCCACGTCCACGTCCACGTCCACGTCCATGTCCACGTCAACGTCCATGTCCACGTCCACGTCCACCTCCACGACCATGTCCACGTCCAGGTCCACGTCCACGTCCACGTCCACGTCCACGTCCACGTCCATGTCCACGTCCACGTCTACGTCCACGTCCACGTCCACGTCCACGTCCTTGCCACGTCCACGACCACGTCCACGTCCACGTCCACGTCGACGTCCACGTCCGCGTCCACGTCGACGTCCACGTCCGCGTCCACGTCGACGTCCGCGTCCGCGACCACGTCGACGTCCACGTCCGCGACCACGTCGACGTCCACGTCCACGTCCACGTCCACGTCGACGTCGACGTCCACGTCCACGTCCACGTCCGCGTCCACGTCCACGTCCACGTCCGCGTCCACGTCCACGTCCACGTCCACGACCACGTCCGCGTCCACGTCCATGTCCACGTCCACGTCCACGTCCAAGTCCATGTCCAAGACCACGTCCACGTCCACGTCCACGTCCACGTCCACGTCCACGTCCACGACCACGACCACGTCCACGACCATGTCCACGTCCATGTCCACGTCCACGTCCACGTCCGCGTCCGCGTCCACGTCCACGTCCGCGTCCACGTCCGCGTCCCCGTCCACGTCCACGTCCGCGTCCACGTCCACGTCCACGTCCGCGTCCACGTCCACGTCCACGTCCGCGTCCGCGTCCACGTCCACGTCCAGGTTCACGTCCACGTCCACGTCCACGTCCACGACCACGTCCACGTCCCCGACCACGTCCACGTCCACGTCCACGTCCTCGTCCACGTCCATGTCCACGTCCACGTCCACGTCCACGTCCACGACCACGTCCACGTCCACGTCCACGTCCATGTCCACGTCCATGTCCACGTCCACGTCCACGTCCACGTCCACGTCCACGACCACGACCACGTCCACGACCACGTCCACGACCACGTCCACGTCCATGTCCACGTCCACGTCCACGTCCACGTCCACGACCAGGTCCACGACCACGTCTACGTCCACGTCCACGTCGACGTCCACGACCAGGACCACAACCACGTCCACGTCCACGTCCACGTCCATGACCAGGTCCACGTCCACGTCCACATCCACGTCCACGTCCAAGTCCACGTCCACATCCACGTCCACGTCCACGACCATGTCCACGTCCACGTCCATGTCCACGTCTACGTCCACGTCCATGTCCACGTCCACGTCCACGTCCACGTCCATGTCTACGTTCACGTCCACGTCCACGTCCACGTCCACGTTCACGTCAACGTCCACGACCAGGTCCACGTCCACGTCCACGACCATGTCCACGTCATCGTCCACGACCATGTCCACGTCCACGTCCACGTCTACGTCCAGGTCCACGTCCATGTCCACGTCCACGTCCATGTCTACGTCCATGTCCACGTCCATGTCCACTTCCACGTCCACGTCCACGTGCACGTCCACGTCCACGTCCACGTCCATGTCCACGTCCACGTCCATGCCACGTCCACGTCCACCTCCACGTCAACGTCCACGTCTACCTCCACCTCCACGTCCACCTCCACGTCCACGTCCACGTCCACGTCCACGTCCACGTCCACGTCCACGTCCACGTCCACGTCCACGTCCACGTCCACGTCCACGTCCACGTCCACGTCCACGTCCACGTCCACGTCCACGTCCACGACCACGACCACGTCCACGACCATGTCCACGTCCATGTCCACGTCCACGTCCACGTCCGCGTCCGCGTCCACGTCCACGTCCGCGTCCACGTCCGCGTCCCCGTCCACGTCCACGTCCGCGTCCACGTCCACGTCCACGTCCGCGTCCACGTCCACGTCCACGTCCGCGTCCGCGTCCACGTCCACGTCCAGGTTCACGTCCACGTCCACGTCCACGTCCACGACCACGTCCACGTCCCCGACCACGTCCACGTCCACGTCCACGTCCTCGTCCACGTCCATGTCCACGTCCACGTCCACGTCCACGTCCACGACCACGTCCACGTCCACGTCCACGTCCATGTCCACGTCCATGTCCATGTCCACGTCCACGTCCACGTCCACGTCCACGTCCACGACCACGACCACGTCCACGACCACGTCCACGACCACGTCCACGTCCATGTCCACGTCCACGTCCACGTCCACGTCCACGACCAGGTCCACGACCACGTCTACGTCCACGTCCACGTCGACGTCCACGACCAGGACCACAACCACGTCCACGTCCACGTCCACGTCCATGACCAGGTCCACGTCCACGTCCACATCCACGTCCACGTCCAAGTCCACGTCCACATCCACGTCCACGTCCACGACCATGTCCACGTCCACGTCCATGTCCACGTCTACGTCCACGTCCATGTCCACGTCCACGTCCACGTCCACGTCCATGTCTACGTTCACGTCCACGTCCACGTCCACGTCCACGTTCACGTCAACGTCCACGACCAGGTCCACGTCCACGTCCACGACCATGTCCACGTCATCGTCCACGACCATGTCCACGTCCACGTCCACGTCTACGTCCAGGTCCACGTCCATGTCCACGTCCACGTCCATGTCTACGTCCATGTCCACGTCCATGTCCACTTCCACGTCCACGTCCACGTGCACGTCCACGTCCACGTCCACGTCCATGTCCACGTCCACGTCCATGCCACGTCCACGTCCACCTCCACGTCAACGTCCACGTCTACCTCCACCTCCACGTCCACCTCCACGTCCATCTCCACGTCCACCTCCACGTCCACGTCCACGTCCACGTCCACGTCCACGTCCACGTCCATGTCCACGACCATGTCCACGTCCTTGTCCAGGTCCACGTCCACGTCCACGTCCACGTCCACGTCCACGTCCACGACCACGACCACGTCCACGACCATGTCCACGTCCATGTCCACGTCCACGTCCACGTCCGCGTCCGCGTCCACGTCCACGTCCGCGTCCACGTCCGCGTCCCCGTCCACGTCCACGTCCGCGTCCACGTCCACGTCCACGTCCACGTCCGCGTCCACGTCCACGTCACGTCCGCGTCCGCGTCCACGTCCACGTCCAGGTTCACGTCCACGTCCACGTCCACGTCCACGACCACGTCCACGTCCCCGACCACGTCCACGTCCACGTCCACGTCCTCGTCCATGTCCACGTCCACGTCCACGTCCACGTCCACGACCACGTCCACGTCCACGTCCACGTCCATGTCCACGTCCATGTCCATGTCCACGTCCACGTCCACGTCCACGTCCACGTCCACGACCACGACCACGTCCACGACCACGTCCACGACCACGTCCACGTCCATGTCCACGTCCACGTCCACGTCCACGTCCACGACCAGGTCCACGACCACGTCTACGTCCACGTCCACGTCGACGTCCACGACCAGGACCACAACCACGTCCACGTCCACGTCCACGTCCATGACCAGGTCCACGTCCACGTCCACATCCACGTCCACGTCCAAGTCCACGTCCACATCCACGTCCACGTCCACGACCATGTCCACGTCCACGTCCATGTCCACGTCCACGTCCACGTCCATGTCCACGTCCACGTCCACGTCCACGTCCATGTCTACGTTCACGTCCACGTCCACGTCCACGTCCACGTTCACGTCAACGTCCACGACCAGGTCCACGTCCACGTCCACGACCATGTCCACGTCATCGTCCACGACCATGTCCACGTCCACGTCCACGTCTACGTCCAGGTCCACGTCCATGTCCACGTCCACGTCCATGTCTACGTCCATGTCCACGTCCATGTCCACTTCCACGTCCACGTCCACGTGCACGTCCACGTCCACGTCCACGTCCATGTCCACGTCCACGTCCATGCCACGTCCACGTCCACCTCCACGTCCACGTCCACGTCTACCTCCACCTCCACGTCCACCTCCACGTCCATCTCCACGTCCACCTCCACGTCCACGTCCACGTCCACGTCCACGTCCACGTCCATGTCCACGACCATGTCCACGTCCATGTCCAGGTCCACGTCCACGTCCACGTCCACGTCCACGTCCATGTCCATGTCCACGACCATGTCCACGTCCACGTCCACGTCCACGTCCACGACCATGTCCACGTCCACGTCCACGTCCACGTCCACGTCCACGACCAGGTCCACGTCCACGTCCACGTCAACGTCCACGTCCACGTCCACGTCCACGACCACGTCCACGTCCACGTCCACGTCAACGTCCACGTCCATGTCCACGTCCACGTCCACGTCCACGTCCACGTCCACGTCCGCGTTCGCGTCCACGTCCACCTCCACGTCCACCTCCACGTCCACCTCCACGTCCACGTCCACGTCCACCTCCACGTCCACGTCCACCTCCACCTCCACGTCCACGTCCGCCTCCACGTCCACGTCCACGTCCGCCTCCGCGTCCACGTCCACGTCCGCCTCCACGTCCACGTCCACGTCCGCATCCACGTCCACGTCCACGTCCACGACCATGTCCACCTCCACGTCCATGTCCACGTCCACGTCCACGTCCACGACCATGTCCACCTCCACGTCCACGACCAGGTCCACGTCCACGTCCACGACCACGTCCACGTCCACGTCCACGTCAACGTCCACGTCCACGTTCACGTCCACGTCCACGTCTACGACCACGTCCACGTCCACGTCAACGTCCACGTCCACGTCCACGTCCACGTCCACGTCCACGTCTACGACCACGTCCACGTCAACGTCCACGTCCACGTCCAGGTCCACGTCCACGACCACGTCCACGTCCATGACCACGTCCACGTCAACGTCCACGTCCACACGACCATGTCCACGTCCACGTCGACGTCCACGTCGACATCCACGACCAGGTCCACGTCCACGTCCACGTCCACGTCCACGACCATGTCCACGTCCACGTCCACGTCCACGTCCACGTCCACGACCATGTCCACGTCCACGTCCACGACCAGGTCCACGTCCAAGTCCACGTCCACGTCCACGTCCACGTCCACGACCACGTCCACGTCGACGTCCACGTCCACGTCCACGACCAGGTCCACGTCCAAGTCCACGTCGACGTCCACGTCCACGTCCACGACCATGTCCACGTCCACGTCCACGTCCACGTCCACGTCCACCTCCACCTCCACGTCCACGTCCACCTCCACCTCCACGTCCACGTCCACCTCCATGTCCACCTCCACGTCCACCTCCACGTCCACCTCCACGTCCACCTCCACGTCCACCTCCACGTCCATGTCCACGTCCACGTCCACGTCCACGTTCACGTCCACGTCCACGACCACGTCCACGTCCACGTTCACGTCCACGTCCACGTCCACGTCCACGTCCACGACCACGTCCACGTCGACGTCCACGTCAACGTCCACGTCCACACGACCATGTCCACGTCCACGTCGACGTCCACGTCCACGTCCACGACCAGGTCCACGTCCACGTCGACGTCCACGTCCACGTCCACGTCCACGTCCACGACCAGGTCCACGTCCAAGTCCACGTCCACGTCCACGTCCACGACCACGTCCACGTCCACGTCAACGTCCACGTCCACGTCCACGTCCACGTCCACGTCCACGTCCACGTCCACGACCAGGTCCACATCCACGTCCACGTCCACGTCCACGCCCACTTCCACGTCCACGTCCATGTCCACGACCACGTCCACGTCCACGTCCACGACCATGTCCACGTCCACGTCCACGCCCACGTCCACGACCATGTCCACGTCCACGTCCACGTCCACGTCCACGCCCACGTCCACGTCCACGACCAGTCCACGTCCACGTCCACGTCCACGTCCACGTCCACGCCCACGTCCACGACCACGACCACGACCACGTCCACGACCACGTCCACGTCCATGTCCACGTACACGTCTACGTCCACGGTCCACGTCCACGTCCACGTCTACGTCCACGTGCACGTCTACGTCCATGTCTACGTCCACGACCATGTCCACGTCCACGTCCACGTCCACGTCCACGTCCATGTCCACGTCTACGTCCACGTCCACGTCCACGTCCAGGTCCACGTCCACGTCCACGTCCACGTCCACATCCAGGTCCACGACACGACCACGACCACGACCACGACCACGTCCACGTCCAGGTCCACGTCCACGACCACGACCACGACCACGACCACCTCCACGACCACCTCCACGTCCACGTCTACGACCACCTCCACGTCCACGTTCACGTCCACGTCCACGTCCACGACCACGACCACCTCCACGTCCAAGTCCACGTCCATGTCCACGTCCACGTCCACGTCCACGTCCACGTCCACGTCCACGTCCACGTCCACGTCTACGACCACCTCCACGTCCACGTCCACGACCACCTCCACGACCACCTCCACGTCCACGTCTACGACCACGTCCACGACCACGTCCACGTCCACGTCCACGTCCACGTCCACGACCACGTCCACGTCCACGACCACGTCCACGACCACGTCCACGTCCACGTCCACGACCACGTCCACGTCCACGTCCACGTCCACGTCCACGTCCATGTCCACGTCCACGTCCATGTCCATGTCCACGTCCACGTCCACGTCCACCTCTATGTCCACGTCCACGTCCACGTCCACCTCCACGTCCACGTCTACGTCCACGTCCCCGTCCACGTCCACGTCTACGTCCACGTCCCCGTCCACGTCCACGTCCACGTCCACGTCCACGTCCACCTCCATGTCCACGTCCACGTCCACGTCTATGTCCACGTCCACGTCCACATCCACGTCCACGTCCACGTCCACTTCCATGTCCACGTCCACGTCCATGTCCACGTCCACGTCCACGTCCACGTCCACGTCCAGGTCTATGTTCAGGTCCACGTCCATGTCCACGTCCACGTCCACGTCCACGTCCATGTCCATGTCCACGTCCACGTCCACGTCCAAGTCCACGTCCACGTCCCCGTCCACGTCCATGTCCACGTCCACGTCCACGTCCACGTCTATGTCCACGTCCACGTCCACGTCCAGGTCCACGTCCATGTCCATGTCCACGTCCACGTCCACGTCCACGTCCCCGTCCACGTCCACGTCCACGTCCACGTCCACGTCCACGTCCACGTCCATGTCCACGTCCACGTCCATGTCCACGTCCACGTCCACGTTCACGTCCATGTCCACGTCCACGTCCACGTCCACGTCCACGTCCATGTCCACGTCCACGTCCATGTCCACGTCCACGTCCATGTCCATGTCCATGTCCATGTCCATGTCCACGTCCATATCCACGTCCATGTCCACGTCCACGTCCATGTCCACGTCCACGTCCACGTCCACGTCCACGTCCACGTCCATGTCCATGTCCACGTCCACGTCCATGTCCATGTCCACGTCCACGTCCATGTCCACGTCCACGTCCATGTCCATGTCCATGTCCACGTCCACGTCCATATCCACGTCCATGTCCACGTCCACGTCCATGTCCACGTCCACGTCCACGTCCAGGTCCATGTCCACGTCCACCTCCATGTCCACGTCCACGTCCATGTCCACGTCCACGTCCACGTCCATGTCCACATCCACGTCCACGTCCACGTCCACGTCCACGTCCACGTCCATGTCCATGTCCACGTCCACGTCCATGTCCATGTCCACGCCCACGACCATGTCGACGTCCACGTTTACGTCCACGTCCACGTCCACGTCCATGTCCACGTCCACGTCCACGTCCACGTCCAAGTCCACGTCCACGTCCAAGTCCACGTCCACGTCCACGTCCACGTCCACGTCTACACGTCTACGTCCACGTCCACGTCCACGTCTACGTCCACGTCCACATCCACGTCCACGTCTATGTCTACGTCCACGTCCATGTCCACGTCTACGTCCACGTCCACGTCCACGTCCACGTCCATGTCCACGTCCACGTCCACGTTCACGTCCCCGTCCACGTCCATGTCCACGTCCATGTCCACGTCCACGTCCACGTCCACGTCTATGTCCACGTCCACGTCCACGTCCACGTCCACGTCCATGTCCACGTCCACGTCCAGGTCTACGTCCAGGTCCACGTCCACGTCCAGGTCCACGTCCACGTCCACGTCCACGTCTATGTCCAGGTCTACGTCCATGTCCACGTCCACGTCCACGTCCATGTCCACGTCCACGTCCACGTCCACGTCCAAGTCCACGTCCACGTCCACGTCCACGTCCACGTCCATGTCCATGTCCACGTCCACGTCCACGTCCACGTCTATGTCCACGTCCACGTCCACGTCCACGTCCATGTCCATGTCCACGTCCACGTCCATGTTCACGTCCCCGTCCACGTCCACGTCCACGTCCATGTCCACGTCCACGTCCACGTCCACGTCCACGTCCATGTCCACGTCCACGTCCACGTCCACGTCCATGTCCATGTCCACGTCCACGTCCATGTCCACGTTTACGTCCATGTCCATGTCCATGTCCACGTCCACGTCCATGTCCACGTCCATGTCCACGTCCACGTCCATGTCCACGTCCACGTCCACGTCCACGTCCATGTCCACGTCCACGTCCATGTCCATGTCCACGTCCACGTCCATGTCCACATCCACGTCCATGTCCATGTCCATGTCCACGTCCACGTCCATCTCCACGTCCATGTCCACGTCCACGTCCATGTCCACGTCCACGTCCACGTCCACGTCCATGTCCACGTCCACGTCCATGTCCACGTCCACGTCCACGTCCACGTCCACGTCCACGTCCATGTCCACGTCCACGTCCACGTCCACGTCCACGTCCATGTCCACGTCCACGTCCATGTCCACGTCCACGTCCACGTCCATGTCCACGTCCACGTCCATGTCCACGTCCACGTCCATGTCTACGTCCACGTCCACGTCCATGTCCACGTCCACGTCCACGTCCACGTCCACGTCCATGTCCACGTCCACGTCCAAGTCCACGTCCATGTCCACGTCCAAGTCCACGTCCATGTCCACGTCCACGTCCACGTCCATGTCCACGTCCACGTCCACGTCCACGTCCACGTCCATGTCCACGTCCATGTCCACGTCCACGTCCACGTCCACGTCCATGTCCACGTCCACGTCCATGTCCACGTCCACGTCCACGTCCATGTCCACGACCACGTCCATGTCCACGTCCACGTCCACGTCCACGTCCACGTCCAAGTCCACGTCCATGTCCACGTCCACGTCCACGTCCATGTCCACGTCCACGTCCATGTCCACGTCCACGTCCACGTCCATGTCCACGTCCACGTCCACGTCCACGTCCACGTCCATGTCCACGTCCACGTCCACGTCCACGTCCCCGTCCACGTCCACGTCCACGTCCATGTCCACGTCCACATCCACGTCCATGTCCACGTCCACGTCCATGTCCACGTCCACGTCCATGTCAATGTCCATGTCCATGTCCATGTCCACGTCCATATCCACGTCCATGTCCACGTCCACGTCCATGTCCACGTGCACGTCCACGTCCACGTCCACGTCCATGTCCATGTCCACGTCCACGTCCATGTCCATGTCCACGTCCACGTCCATGTCCACGTCCACGTCCATGTCCATGTCCATGTCCACGTCCACGTCCATATCCACGTCCATGTCCACGTCCACGTCCATGTCCACGTCCATGTCCACGTCCACGTCCACGTCCATGTCCACGTCCACGTCCATGTCCACGTCCACGTCCATGTCTACGTCCACGTCCACGTCCATGTCCACGTCCACGTCCACGTCCACGTCTATGTCCACGTCCATGTCCACGTCCACGTCCAAGTCCACGTCCATGTCCACGTCCAAGTCCACGTCCATGTCCACGTCCACGTCCACGTCCATGTCCACGTCCACGTCCACGTCCACGTCCACGTCCACGTCCATGTCCACGTCCATGTCCACGTCCACGTCCACGTCCACGTCCATGTCCACGTCCACGTCCATGTCCACGTCCACGTCCACGTCCATGTCCACGTCCACGTCCATGTCCACGTCCACGTCCACGTCCACGTCCACGTCCAAGTCCACGTCCATGTCCACGTCCACGTCCACGTCCATGTCCACGTCCACGTCCATGTCCACGTCCACGTCCACGTCCATGTCCACGTCCACGTCCACGTCCCCGTCCACGTCCACGTCCACGTCCATGTCCACGTCCACATCCACGTCCATGTCCACGTCCACGTCCATGTCCACGTCCACGTCCATGTCAATGTCCATGTCCATGTCCATGTCCACGTCCATATCCACGTCCATGTCCACGTCCACGTCCATGTCCACGTGCACGTCCACGTCCACGTCCACGTCCATGTCCATGTCCACGTCCACGTCCATGTCCATGTCCACGTCCACGTCCATGTCCACGTCCACGTCCATGTCCATGTCCATGTCCACGTCCACGTCCATATCCACGTCCATGTCCACGTCCACGTCCATGTCCACGTCCACGTCCACGTCCATGTCCATGTCCACGTCCACCTCCATGTCCACGTCCACGTCCATGTCCACGTCCACGTCCACGTCCATGTCCACATCCACGTCCACGTCCACGTCCACGTCCACGTCCATGTCCACGTCCACGTCCACGTCCATGTCCATGTCCACGCCCACGACCATGTCGACGTCCACGTTTACGTCCACGTCCACGTCCACGTCCATGTCCACGTCCACGTCCACGTCCACGTCCAAGTCCACGTCCACGTCCAAGTCCACGTCCACGTCCACGTCCACGTCCACGTCTACACGTCCACGTCCACGTCCATGTCCACGTCTACGTCCACGTCCACATCCACGTCCACGTCTATGTCCACGTCCACGTCCATGTCCACGTCTACGTCCACGTCCACGTCCACGTCCATGTCCACGTCCACGTCCACGTTCACGTCCCCGTCCACGTCCACGTCCACGTCCATGTCCACGTCCACGTCCACGTCCACGTCTATGTCCACGTCCACGTCCACGTCCACGTCCATGTCCACGTCCACGTCCACGTCTACGTCCAGGTCCACGTCCACGTCCAGGTCCACGTCCACGTCCACGTCCACGTCCACGTCTATGTCCAGGTCTACGTCCATGTCCACGTCCACGTCCACGTCCATGTCCATGTCCACGTCCACGTCCACGTCCACGTCCAAGTCCACGTCCACGTCCACGTCCACGTCCACGTCCATGTCCATGTCCACGTCCACGTCCACGTCTATGTCCACGTCCACGTCCACGTCCACGTCCATGTCCATGTCCACGTCCACGTCCATGTCCACGTCCCCGTCCACGTCCACGTCCACGTCCACGTCCATGTCCACGTCCACGTCCACGTCCACGTCCACGTCCACGTCCATGTCCACGTCCACGTCCACGTCCACGTCCATGTCCATGTCCACGTCCACGTCCATGTCCACGTTTACGTCCATGTCCATGTCCATGTCCACGTCCACGTCCATGTCCACGTCCATGTCCACGTCCACGTCCATGTCCACGTCCACGTCCACGTCCACGTCCATGTCCACGTCCACGTCCATGTCCATGTCCACGTCCACGTCCATGTCCACATCCACGTCCATGTCCATGTCCACGTCCACGTCCACGTCCATCTCCACGTCCATGTCCACGTCCACGTCCATGTCCACGTCCACGTCCACGTCCACGTCCATGTCCACGTCCACGTCCATGTCCACGTCCACGTCCACGTCCACGTCCACGTCCACGTCCATGTCCACGTCCACGTCCACGTCCACGTCCACGTCCATGTCCACGTCCACGTCCATGTCCACGTCCACGTCCACGTCCATGTCCACGTCCACGTCCATGTCCACGTCCACGTCCATGTCTACGTCCACGTCCACGTCCATGTCCACGTCCACGTCCACGTCCACGTCCACGTCCATGTCCACGTCCACGTCCAAGTCCACGTCCATGTCCACGTCCAAGTCCACGTCCATGTCCACGTCCACGTCCACGTCCATGTCCACGTCCACGTCCACGTCCACGTCCACGTCCATGTCCACGTCCATGTCCACGTCCACGTCCACGTCCACGTCCATGTCCACGTCCACGTCCATGTCCACGTCCACGTCCACGTCCATGTCCACGACCACGTCCATGTCCACGTCCACGTCCACGTCCACGTCCACGTCCAAGTCCACGTCCATGTCCACGTCCACGTCCACGTCCATGTCCACGTCCACGTCCATGTCCACGTCCACGTCCACGTCCATGTCCACGTCCACGTCCACGTCCACGTCCACGTCCATGTCCACGTCCACGTCCACGTCCACGTCCCCGTCCACGTCCACGTCCACGTCCATGTCCACGTCCACATCCACGTCCATGTCCACGTCCACGTCCATGTCCACGTCCACGTCCATGTCAATGTCCATGTCCATGTCCATGTCCACGTCCATATCCACGTCCATGTCCACGTCCACGTCCATGTCCACGTGCACGTCCACGTCCACGTCCACGTCCATGTCCATGTCCACGTCCACGTCCATGTCCATGTCCACGTCCACGTCCATGTCCACGTCCACGTCCATGTCCATGTCCATGTCCACGTCCACGTCCATATCCACGTCCATGTCCACGTCCACGTCCATGTCCACGTCCATGTCCACGTCCACGTCCACGTCCATGTCCACGTCCACGTCCATGTCCACGTCCACGTCCATGTCTACGTCCACGTCCACGTCCATGTCCACGTCCACGTCCACGTCCACGTCCACGTCCATGTCCACGTCCACGTCCAAGTCCACGTCCATGTCCACGTCCAAGTCCACGTCCATGTCCACGTCCACGTCCACGTCCATGTCCACGTCCACGTCCACGTCCACGTCCACGTCCACGTCCATGTCCACGTCCATGTCCACGTCCACGTCCACGTCCACGTCCATGTCCACGTCCACGTCCATGTCCACGTCCACGTCCACGTCCATGTCCACGTCCACGTCCATGTCCACGTCCACGTCCACGTCCACGTCCACGTCCAAGTCCACGTCCATGTCCACGTCCACGTCCACGTCCATGTCCACGTCCACGTCCATGTCCACGTCCACGTCCACGTCCATGTCCACGTCCACGTCCACGTCCCCGTCCACGTCCACGTCCACGTCCATGTCCACGTCCACATCCACGTCCATGTCCACGTCCACGTCCATGTCCACGTCCACGTCCATGTCAATGTCCATGTCCATGTCCATGTCCACGTCCATATCCACGTCCATGTCCACGTCCACGTCCATGTCCACGTGCACGTCCACGTCCACGTCCACGTCCATGTCCATGTCCACGTCCACGTCCATGTCCATGTCCACGTCCACGTCCATGTCCACGTCCACGTCCATGTCCATGTCCATGTCCACGTCCACGTCCATATCCACGTCCATGTCCACGTCCACGTCCATGTCCACGTCCACGTCCACGTCCATGTCCATGTCCACGTCCACCTCCATGTCCACGTCCACGTCCATGTCCACGTCCACGTCCACGTCCATGTCCACATCCACGTCCACGTCCACGTCCACGTCCACGTCCATGTCCACGTCCACGTCCACGTCCATGTCCATGTCCACGCCCACGACCATGTCGACGTCCACGTTTACGTCCACGTCCACGTCCACGTCCATGTCCACGTCCACGTCCACGTCCACGTCCAAGTCCACGTCCACGTCCAAGTCCACGTCCACGTCCACGTCCACGTCCACGTCTACACGTCCACGTCCACGTCCATGTCCACGTCTACGTCCACGTCCACATCCACGTCCACGTCTATGTCCACGTCCACGTCCATGTCCACGTCTACGTCCACGTCCACGTCCACGTCCATGTCCACGTCCACGTCCACGTTCACGTCCCCGTCCACGTCCACGTCCACGTCCATGTCCACGTCCACGTCCACGTCCACGTCTATGTCCACGTCCACGTCCACGTCCACGTCCATGTCCACGTCCACGTCCACGTCTACGTCCAGGTCCACGTCCACGTCCAGGTCCACGTCCACGTCCACGTCCACGTCCACGTCTATGTCCAGGTCTACGTCCATGTCCACGTCCACGTCCACGTCCATGTCCATGTCCACGTCCACGTCCACGTCCACGTCCAAGTCCACGTCCACGTCCACGTCCACGTCCACGTCCATGTCCATGTCCACGTCCACGTCCACGTCTATGTCCACGTCCACGTCCACGTCCACGTCCATGTCCATGTCCACGTCCACGTCCATGTCCACGTCCCCGTCCACGTCCACGTCCACGTCCACGTCCATGTCCACGTCCACGTCCACGTCCACGTCCACGTCCACGTCCATGTCCACGTCCACGTCCACGTCCACGTCCATGTCCATGTCCACGTCCACGTCCATGTCCACGTTTACGTCCATGTCCATGTCCATGTCCACGTCCACGTCCATGTCCACGTCCATGTCCACGTCCACGTCCATGTCCACGTCCACGTCCACGTCCACGTCCATGTCCACGTCCACGTCCATGTCCATGTCCACGTCCACGTCCATGTCCACATCCACGTCCATGTCCATGTCCATGTCCACGTCCACGTCCATCTCCACGTCCATGTCCACGTCCACGTCCATGTCCACGTCCACGTCCACGTCCACGTCCATGTCCACGTCCACGTCCATGTCCACGTCCACGTCCACGTCCACGTCCACGTCCATGTCCACGTCCACGTCCACGTCCACGTCCATGTCCACGTCCACGTCCATGTCCACGTCCACGTCCACGTCCATGTCCACGTCCACGTCCATGTCCACGTCCACGTCCTTGTCTACGTCCACGTCCACGTCCATGTCCACGTCCACGTCCACGTCCACGTCCACGTCCATGTCCACGTCCACGTCCAAGTCCACGTCCATGTCGACGTCCACGTCCAAGTCCACGTCCATGTCCACGTCCACGTCCACGTCCATGTCCACGTCCACGTCCACGTCCACGTCCACGTCCACGTCCATGTCCACGTCCATCGTCCACGTCCACGTCCGTCCACGTCCATGTCCACGTCCACGTCCATGTCCACGTCCACGTCCACGTCCATGTCCACGTCCACGTCCATGTCCACGTCCACGTCCACGTCCACGTCCACGTCCAAGTCCACGTCCATGTCCACGTCCACGTCCACGTCCATGTCCACGTCCACGTCCATGTCCACGTCCACGTCCACGTCCATGTCCACGTCCACGTCCACGTCCACGTCCACGTCCACGTCCATGTCCACGTCCACGTCCACGTCCACGTCCCCGTCCACGTCCACGTCCACGTCCATGTCCACGTCCACGTCCACGTCCACGTCTATGTCCACGTCCACGTCCACGTCCACGTCCACGTCCATGTCCACGTCCACGTCCAGGTCTACGTCCAGGTCCACGTCCATGTCCAGGTCCACGTCCACGTCCACGTCCACGTCTATGTCCAGGTCTACGTCCATGTCCACGTCCACGTCCACGTCCATGTCCATGTCCACGTCCACGTCCACGTCCACGTCCAAGTCCACGTCCACGTCCACGTCCATGTCCATGTCCACGTCCACGTCCACGTCTATGTCCACGTCCACGTCCACGTCCACGTCCATGTCCATGTCCACGTCCACGTCCATGTCCACGTCCCCGTCCACGTCCACGTCCACGTCCACGTCCACGTCCATGTCCACGTCCACGTCCACGTCCACGTCCACGTCCACGTCCATGTCCACGTCCACGTCCACGTCCACGTCCATGTCCATGTCCACGTCCACGTCCATGTCCACGTCCACGTCCATGTCCATGTCCATGTCCACGTCCACGTCCATGTCCACGTCCATGTCCACGTCCACGTCCACGTCCACGTCCCCGTCCACGTCCACGTCCACGTCCATGTCCACGTCCACGTCCACGTCCACGTCTATGTCCACGTCCACGTCCACGTCCACGTCCACGTCCATGTCCACGTCCACGTCCAGGTCTACGTCCAGGTCCACGTCCATGTCCAGGTCCACGTCCACGTCCACGTCCACGTCCACGTCTATGTCCAGGTCTACGTCCATGTCCACGTCCACGTCCACGTCCATGTCCATGTCCACGTCCACGTCCACGTCCACGTCCAAGTCCACGTCCACGTCCACGTCCATGTCCATGTCCACGTCCACGTCCACGTCTATGTCCACGTCCACGTCCACGTCCACGTCCATGTCCATGTCCACGTCCACGTCCATGTCCACGTCCCCGTCCACGTCCACGTCCACGTCCACGTCCACGTCCATGTCCACGTCCACGTCCACGTCCACGTCCACGTCCACGTCCATGTCCACGTCCACGTCCACGTCCACGTCCATGTCCATGTCCACGTCCACGTCCATGTCCACGTCCACGTCCATGTCCATGTCCATGTCCACGTCCACGTCCATGTCCACGTCCATGTCCACGTCCACGTCAATGTCCACGTCCACGTCCACGTCCACGTCCATGTCCACGTCCACGTCCATGTCCATGTCCATGTCCACGTCCACGTCCATCTCCACGTCCATGTCCACGTCCACGTCCATGTCCACGTCCACGTCCACGTCCACGTCCATGTCCACGTCCACGTCCATGTCCACGTCCACGTCCACGTCCACGTCCATGTCCACGTCCACGTCCACGTCCACGTCCACGTCCATGTCCACGTCCACGTCCATGTCCACGTCCACGTCCACGTCCATGTCCACGTCCACGTCCATGTCCATGTCCACGTCCATGTCCACGTCCACGTCCACGTCCATGTCCACGTCCACGTCCACGTCCACGTCCACGTCCACGTCCACGTCCATGTCCACGGCCACGTCCACGTCCACGTCCAAGTCCACGTCCACGTCCACGTCCACGTCCATGTCCACGTCCACGTCCACGTCCACGTCCATGTCTATGTCCACGTCCACGTCCACGTCCACGTCCACGTCCACGTCCATGTCCACGTCCACGTCCACGTCTACGTCCACGTCCCTGTCCACGTCCACGTCCACGTCCATGTCCACGTCCACGTCCACGTCCACGTCCACGTCCACGTCTATGTCCACGTCCACGTTCACGTCCACGTCCATGTCCACGTCCACGCCCACGTCCACGTCCAGGTCCACGTCCACGTCCACGTCCACGTCCACGTCTATGTCCACGTCCACGTCCACGTCCACGTCCATGTCCATGTCCACGTCCACCTCCACGTCCAAGTCCACGTCCACGTCCACGTCCACGTCCATGTCCACGTCCACGTCCACGTCCACGTCCACGTCTATGTCCACGTCCACGTCCACGTCCACGTCCACGTCCACGTCCCCGTCCACGTCCACGTCCCCGTCCACGTCCATGTCCACGTCCGCGTCCGCGTCCATGTCCACGTCCGCGTCCACGTCCACGTCCACGTCCACATCCACGTCCACGTCCATGTCCACGTCTACGTCCACGTCCACGTCCATGTCCACGTCCACGTCCACGTCCACGTCCACGTCCACGTCCATGTCCACGTCCACGTCCACGTCCACGTCCATGTCCACGTCCACGTCCACGTCCACGTCCACGTTCACGTCCACGTCCACGTCCACGTCCATGTCCTTCATGTCCACGTCCACGTCCATGTCCACGTCCACGTCCACGTCCACGTCCACGTCCACGACCATGTCCATGTCCACGTCCACGTCCACGTCCACGTCCACGTCCACGACCATGTCCACGTCCACGTCCACGTCCATGTCCACGTCCATGTCCACGTCCACGTCCATGTCCATGTCCTCCACGTCCACGTCCACGTCCACGTCCACGTCCACGTCCATGTCCACGTCCAAGTCCACCACGTCCACGTCCACGTCCACCACGTCCACGTCCATGTCCATGTCCACGTCCACGTCCACGTCCACGACCATGTCCACGTCCACGTCCACGACCATGTCTACGTCCACGTCCACGTCCACGTCCACGTCTATGTCCACGTCCACGTCCACGTCCACGTCCACGTCCACGTCCACGTCCACGTCCATGTCCACGTCCATGTCCACGTCCACGTCCACGTCCATCTCCACGTCCACGTCCACGTCCACATCCACGTCCACGTCCACGTCCACGTCCACGTCCCCGTCCACGTCCACGTCCCCGTCCACGTCCACGTCCACGTCCGCGTCCACGTCCACGTCCGCGTCCGCGTCCGCGTCGACGTCCGCGTCCACGTCCACGTCCACGTCCACGTCCACGTCCACGTCCACGTCCACGTCCACGTCCACGTCAACGTCCACGTCCATGTCCACGTCCACGTCCACGTCCACGTCCATGTCCACGTCCACGTCCACGTCCACGTCCACGTCGACGTCCACGTCCATGTCCACGTCCAAGTCGTCCACGTCCACGTCCACGTCCACGTCCATGTCCTTCATGTCCACGTCCACGTCCATGTCCACGTCCACGTCCACGTCCACGTCCACGACCATGTCCACGTCCATGTCCACGTCCACGTCCACGTCCACGTCCACGTCCACGTCCACGACCATGTCCACGTCCACGTCCACGTCCATGTCCACGTCCATGTCCACGTCCACGTCCATGTCCACGTCCTCCACGTCCACGTCCACGTCCACGTCCACGTCCACGTCCATGTCCACGTCCAAGTCCACCACGTCCACGTCCACGTCCACGTCCACGTCCCCGTCCACGTCCACGTCCCCGTCCACGTCCATGTCCACGTCCGCGTCCGCGTCCATGTCCACGTCCGCGTCCACGTCCACGTCCACGTCCACGTCCACGTCCACGTCCACGACCATGTCCACGTCCACGTCCACGTCCACGTCCACGACCATGTCCACGTCCACGTCCACGTCCACGTCCACGTCTATGTCCACGTCCACGTCCACGTCCACGTCCACGTCCATCTCCACGTCCATGTCCACGTCCACGTCCACGTCCATCTCCACGTCCACGTCCACGTCCACGTCCACGTCCACGTCCACGTCCCTGTCCACGTCCACGTCCATGTCCTTCATGTCCACGTCCACGTCCACGTCCACGTCCATGTCCTTCATGTCCACGTCCACGTCCACGTCCACGTCCACGTCCACATCCACGTCCATCTCCACGTCCACGTCCACGTCCACGTCCACGTCCACGTCCACGTCCACATCCACGTCCATCTCCACGTCCACGTCCACGTCCACGTCCACGTCCATCTCCACGTCCACGTCCACGTCCACGTCCATGTCCACGTCCACGTCCACGTCCACGTACACATCCACGTCTATGTCCACGTCCATGTCCACGTCCATGTCCATGTCCACGTCCACGTCCACGTCCACGTCCACGTCCACGTCCATGTCCACGTCCACGTCCACGACCACGTCCACGTCCACGTCCACGCCCGCGGACGCGGACGCGGTCCACGTCCACGTCCACGTCCACGTCCACGTCCACGTCCACGTCCACATCCACGTCCACGTCCACGTCCATGTCGTCCACGTCCACGTCCACGTCCACGTCCACGTCCACGTCCACGTCCATGTCCACGTCCACGTCCACGTCTACGTCAACGTCCACGTCCATGTCCACGTCCACGTCCACGTCCACGTCTACGTCCACGTCTACGTCCACGTCCACGTCCATGTCCACGTCCACGTCCACGTCCACGTCCACGTCTACGTCCACGTCCACGTCTACGTCCACGTCCATGTCCACGTCCACGTCCACGTCCACGTCCACATCCACGTCCATCTCCACGTCCACGTCCACGTCCACGTCCACGTCCACGTCCATCTCCACGTCCACGTCCACGTCCACGTCCATGTCCACGTCCACGTCCACGTCCACGTACAGGTCCACGTCTATGTCCACGTCCATGTCCACGTCCATGTCCATGTCCACGTCCACGTCCACGTCCACGTCCACGTCCACGTCCACGTCCATGTCCACGTCCACGTCCACGACCACGTCCACGTCCACGTCCACGTCCGCGGACGCGGACGCGGTCCACGTCCATGTCCACGTCCACGTCCACGTCCACGTCCACGTCCACGTCCACGTCCACATCCACGTCCACGTCCACGTCCACGTCCATGTCGTCCACGTCCACGTCCACGTCCACGTCCACGTCCATGTCCACGTCCACGTCCACCTCTACGTCAACGTCCACGTCCATGTCCACGTCCACGTCCACGTCTACGTCCACGTCTACGTCCACGTCCACGTCCATGTCCACGTCCACGTCCACGTCCACGTCTACGTCCACGTCCACGTCTACGTCCACGTCCATGTACACGTCCACGTCCACGTCCACGTCCACGTCCATGTACACGTCCACGTCCACGTCCACGTCCACGTCCACGTCCACGACCATGGCCACGTCCATGTCCGTCCACGTCCACGTCCACGACCATGGCCACGTCCATGTCCACGTCCACGTCCACGTCCACGTCCACGTCCAAGTCCACGTCCATGTCCACGTCCATGTCCACGTCCACGTCCACGTCCAGTCCATGTCCACGTCCACGTCCACGTCCACGTTCACGTCCACGTCCATGTCCACGTCCACGTCCACGTCCAGTCCATGTCCACGTCCACGTCCACGTCCACGTCCACGTTCACGTCCACGTCCATGTCCACGTCCACGTCCACGTCCAGTCCATGTCCACGTCCACGTCCACGTCCACGTTCACGTCCACGTCCACGTCCACGTCCACGTCCACGTCCACGTCCACGTCCATGTCCACGTCCTAGTCCTCCACGTCCACGTCCACGACCACGTCCACGTCCACGTCCACGTCCACGACCACGTCCACGTCCAGATCCACGTCCACGTCCACGACCACGTCCATGTCCACGTCCACGTCCACGACCACGTCCACGTCCAGATCCACGTCCACGTCCACGTCCACGTCCATGTCCACGTCCACGTCCACGTCCACGTCCACGTCCACGTCCATGTCCACGTCAACGTCCATGTCCACGTCCACGTCCACCTCCACGACCATGTCCACGTCCAGGTCCACGTCCACGTCCACGTCCACGTCCACGTCCACGTCCATGTCCACGTCCACGTCTACGTCCACGTCCACGTCCACGTCCACGTCCACGTCCACGTCCACGACCACGTCCACGTCCACGTCCACGTCGACGTCCACGTCCGCGTCCACGTCGACGTCCACGTCCGCGTCCACGTCGACGTCCGCGTCCGCGACCACGTCGACGTCCACGTCCGCGACCACGTCGACGTCCACGTCCACGTCCACGTCCACGTCGACGTCGACGTCCACGTCCACGTCCACGTCCGCGTCCACGTCCACGTCCACGTCCGCGTCCACGTCCACGTCCACGTCCACGACCACGTCCGCGTCCACGTCCATGTCCACGTCCACGTCCACGTCCAAGTCCATGTCCAAGACCACGTCCACGTCCACGTCCACGTCCACGTCCACGTCCACGTCCACGACCACGACCACGTCCACGACCATGTCCACGTCCATGTCCACGTCCACGTCCACGTCCGCGTCCGCGTCCACGTCCACGTCCGCGTCCACGTCCGCGTCCCCGTCCACGTCCACGTCCGCGTCCACGTCCACGTCCACGTCCGCGTCCACGTCCACGTCCACGTCCGCGTCCGCGTCCACGTCCACGTCCAGGTTCACGTCCACGTCCACGTCCACGTCCACGACCACGTCCACGTCCCCGACCACGTCCACGTCCACGTCCACGTCCTCGTCCACGTCCATGTCCACGTCCACGTCCACGTCCACGTCCACGACCACGTCCACGTCCACGTCCACGTCCATGTCCACGTCCATGTCCATGTCCACGTCCACGTCCACGTCCACGTCCACGTCCACGACCACGACCACGTCCACGACCACGTCCACGACCACGTCCACGTCCATGTCCACGTCCACGTCCACGTCCACGTCCACGACCAGGTCCACGACCACGTCTACGTCCACGTCCACGTCGACGTCCACGACCAGGACCACAACCACGTCCACGTCCACGTCCACGTCCATGACCAGGTCCACGTCCACGTCCACATCCACGTCCAGGTCCAAGTCCACGTCCACATCCACGTCCACGTCCACGACCATGTCCACGTCCACGTCCATGTCCACGTCTACGTCCACGTCCATGTCCACGTCCACGTCCACGTCCACGTCCATGTCTACGTTCACGTCCACGTCCACGTCCACGTCCACGTTCACGTCAACGTCCACGACCAGGTCCACGTCCACGTCCACGACCATGTCCACGTCATCGTCCACGACCATGTCCACGTCCACGTCCACGTCTACGTCCAGGTCCACGTCCATGTCCACGTCCACGTCCATGTCTACGTCCATGTCCACGTCCATGTCCACTTCCACGTCCACGTCCACGTGCACGTCCACGTCCACGTCCACGTCCATGTCCACGTCCACGTCCATGCCACGTCCACGTCCACCTCCACGTCAACGTCCACGTCTACCTCCACCTCCACGTCCACCTCCACGTCCATCTCCACGTCCACCTCCACGTCCACGTCCACGTCCACGTCCACGTCCACGTCCACGTCCATGTCCACGACCATGTCCACGTCCTTGTCCAGGTCCACGTCCACGTCCACGTCCACGTCCACGTCCACGTCCACGACCACGACCACGTCCACGACCATGTCCACGTCCATGTCCACGTCCACGTCCACGTCCGCGTCCGCGTCCACGTCCACGTCCGCGTCCACGTCCGCGTCCCCGTCCACGTCCACGTCCGCGTCCACGTCCACGTCCACGTCCACGTCCGCGTCCACGTCCACGTCACGTCCGCGTCCGCGTCCACGTCCACGTCCAGGTTCACGTCCACGTCCACGTCCACGTCCACGACCACGTCCACGTCCCCGACCACGTCCACGTCCACGTCCACGTCCTCGTCCATGTCCACGTCCACGTCCACGTCCACGTCCACGACCACGTCCACGTCCACGTCCACGTCCATGTCCACGTCCATGTCCATGTCCACGTCCACGTCCACGTCCACGTCCACGTCCACGACCACGTCCACGACCACGTCCACGACCACGTCCACGTCCATGTCCACGTCCACGTCCACGTCCACGTCCACGACCAGGTCCACGACCACGTCTACGTCCACGTCCACGTCGACGTCCACGACCAGGACCACAACCACGTCCACGTCCACGTCCACGTCCATGACCAGGTCCACGTCCACGTCCACATCCACGTCCACGTCCAAGTCCACGTCCACATCCACGTCCACGTCCACGACCATGTCCACGTCCACGTCCATGTCCACGTCCACGTCCACGTCCATGTCCACGTCCACGTCCACGTCCACGTCCATGTCTACGTTCACGTCCACGTCCACGTCCACGTCCACGTTCACGTCAACGTCCACGACCAGGTCCACGTCCACGTCCACGACCATGTCCACGTCATCGTCCACGACCATGTCCACGTCCACGTCCACGTCTACGTCCAGGTCCACGTCCATGTCCACGTCCACGTCCATGTCTACGTCCATGTCCACGTCCATGTCCACTTCCACGTCCACGTCCACGTGCACGTCCACGTCCACGTCCACGTCCATGTCCACGTCCACGTCCATGCCACGTCCACGTCCACCTCCACGTCCACGTCCACGTCTACCTCCACCTCCACGTCCACCTCCACGTCCATCTCCACGTCCACCTCCACGTCCACGTCCACGTCCACGTCCACGTCCACGTCCATGTCCACGACCATGTCCACGTCCATGTCCAGGTCCACGTCCACGTCCACGTCCACGTCCACGTCCATGTCCATGTCCACGACCATGTCCACGTCCACGTCCACGTCCACGTCCACGACCATGTCCACGTCCACGTCCACGTCCACGTCCACGTCCACGACCAGGTCCACGTCCACGTCCACGTCAACGTCCACGTCCACGTCCACGTCCACGACCACGTCCACGTCCACGTCAACGTCCACGTCCATGTCCACGTCCACGTCCACGTCCACGTCCACGTCCACGTCCGCGTTCGCGTCCACGTCCACCTCCACGTCCACCTCCACGTCCACCTCCACGTCCACGTCCACGTCCACCTCCACGTCCACGTCCACCTCCACCTCCACGTCCACGTCCGCCTCCACGTCCACGTCCACGTCCGCCTCCGCGTCCACGTCCACGTCCGCCTCCACGTCCACGTCCACGTCCGCATCCACGTCCACGTCCACGTCCACGACCATGTCCACCTCCACGTCCATGTCCACGTCCACGTCCACGTCCACGACCATGTCCACCTCCACGTCCACGACCAGGTCCACGTCCACGTCCACGTCCACGACCAGGTCCACGTCCACGTCCACGTCAACGTCCACGTCCACGTTCACGTCCACGTCCACGTCTACGACCACGTCCACGTCCACGTCAACGTCCACGTCCACGTCCACGTCCACGTCCACGTCCACGTCCACGTCTACGACCACGTCCACGTCAACGTCCACGTCCACGTCCAGGTCCACGTCCACGACCACGTCCACGTCCATGACCACGTCCACGTCAACGTCCACGTCCACACGACCATGTCCACGTCCACGTCGACGTCCACGTCGACATCCACGACCAGGTCCACGTCCACGTCCACGTCCACGACCATGTCCACGTCCACGTCCACGTCCACGTCCACGTCCACGACCATGTCCACGTCCACGTCCACGACCAGGTCCACGTCCAAGTCCACGTCCACGTCCACGTCCACGTCCACGACCACGTCCACGTCGACGTCCACGTCCACGTCCACGACCAGGTCCACGTCCAAGTCCACGTCGACGTCCACGTCCACGTCCACGACCATGTCCACGTCCACGTCCACGTCCACGTCCACCTCCACGTCCACCTCCACCTCCACGTCCACGTCCACCTCCACCTCCACGTCCACGTCCACCTCCATGTCCACCTCCACGTCCACCTCCACGTCCACCTCCACGTCCACCTCCACGTCCACCTCCACGTCCATGTCCACGTCCACGTCCACGTCCACGTCCACGTCCACGTCCACGACCACGTCCACGTCCACGTTCACGTCCACGTCCACGTCCACGTCCACGTCCACGACCACGTCCACGTCGACGTCCACGTCAACGTCCACGTCCACACGACCATGTCCACGTCCACGTCGACGTCCACGTCCACGTCCACGACCAGGTCCACGTCCACGTCGACGTCCACGTCCACGTCCACGTCCACGTCCACGACCAGGTCCACGTCCAAGTCCACGTCCACGTCCACGTCCACGACCACGTCCACGTCCACGTCAACGTCCACGTCCACGTCCACGTCCACGTCCACGTCCACGTCCACGTCCACGACCAGGTCCACATCCACGTCCACGTCCACGTCCACGCCCACTTCCACGTCCACGTCCATGTCCACGACCACGTCCACGTCCACGTCCACGACCATGTCCACGTCCACGTCCACGCCCACGTCCACGACCATGTCCACGTCCACGTCCACGTCCACGTCCACGCCCACGTCCACGTCCACGACCAGTCCACGTCCACGTCCACGTCCACGTCCACGTCCACGCCCACGTCCACGACCACGACCACGACCACGTCCACGACCACGTCCACGTCCATGTCCACGTACACGTCTACGTCCACGGTCCACGTCCACGTCCACGTCTACGTCCACGTGCACGTCTACGTCCATGTCTACGTCCACGACCATGTCCACGTCCACGTCCACGTCCACGTCCACGTCCATGTCCACGTCTACGTCCACGTCCACGTCCACGTCCAGGTCCACGTCCACGTCCACGTCCACGTCCACATCCAGGTCCACGACACGACCACGACCACGACCACGACCACGTCCACGTCCAGGTCCACGTCCACGACCACGACCACGACCACGACCACCTCCACGACCACCTCCACGTCCACGTCTACGACCACCTCCACGTCCACGTTCACGTCCACGTCCACGTCCACGACCACGACCACCTCCACGTCCAAGTCCACGTCCATGTCCACGTCCACGTCCACGTCCACGTCCACGTCCACGTCCACGTCCACGTCCACGTCTACGACCACCTCCACGTCCACGTCCACGACCACCTCCACGACCACCTCCACGTCCACGTCTACGACCACGTCCACGACCACGTCCACGTCCACGTCCACGTCCACGTCCACGACCACGTCCACGTCCACGACCACGTCCACGACCACGTCCACGTCCACGTCCACGACCACGTCCACGTCCACGTCCACGTCCACGTCCACGTCCATGTCCACGTCCACGTCCATGTCCATGTCCACGTCCACGTCCACGTCCACCTCTATGTCCACGTCCACGTCCACGTCCACCTCCACGTCCACGTCTACGTCCACGTCCCCGTCCACGTCCACGTCTACGTCCACGTCCCCGTCCACGTCCACGTCCACGTCCACGTCCACGTCCACCTCCATGTCCACGTCCACGTCCACGTCTATGTCCACGTCCACGTCCACATCCACGTCCACGTCCACGTCCACTTCCATGTCCACGTCCACGTCCATGTCCACGTCCACGTCCACGTCCACGTCCACGTCCAGGTCTATGTTCAGGTCCACGTCCATGTCCACGTCCACGTCCACGTCCACGTCCATGTCCATGTCCACGTCCACGTCCACGTCCAAGTCCACGTCCACGTCCCCGTCCACGTCCATGTCCACGTCCACGTCCACGTCCACGTCTATGTCCACGTCCACGTCCACGTCCAGGTCCACGTCCATGTCCATGTCCACGTCCACGTCCACGTCCACGTCCCCGTCCACGTCCACGTCCACGTCCACGTCCACGTCCACGTCCACGTCCATGTCCACGTCCACGTCCATGTCCACGTCCACGTCCACGTTCACGTCCATGTCCACGTCCACGTCCACGTCCACGTCCACGTCCATGTCCACGTCCACGTCCATGTCCACGTCCACGTCCATGTCCATGTCCATGTCCATGTCCATGTCCACGTCCATATCCACGTCCATGTCCACGTCCACGTCCATGTCCACGTCCACGTCCACGTCCACGTCCACGTCCACGTCCATGTCCATGTCCACGTCCACGTCCATGTCCATGTCCACGTCCACGTCCATGTCCACGTCCACGTCCATGTCCATGTCCATGTCCACGTCCACGTCCATATCCACGTCCATGTCCACGTCCACGTCCATGTCCACGTCCACGTCCACGTCCAGGTCCATGTCCACGTCCACCTCCATGTCCACGTCCACGTCCATGTCCACGTCCACGTCCACGTCCATGTCCACATCCACGTCCACGTCCACGTCCACGTCCATGTCCACGTCCACGTCCACGTCCATGTCCATGTCCACGCCCACGACCATGTCGACGTCCACGTTTACGTCCACGTCCACGTCCACGTCCATGTCCACGTCCACGTCCACGTCCACGTCCAAGTCCACGTCCACGTCCAAGTCCACGTCCACGTCCACGTCCACGTCCACGTCTACACGTCCACGTCCACGTCCACGTCCACGTCTACGTCCACGTCCACATCCACGTCCACGTCTATGTCTACGTCCACGTCCATGTCCACGTCTACGTCCACGTCCACGTCCACGTCCACGTCCATGTCCACGTCCACGTCCACGTTCACGTCCCCGTCCACGTCCATGTCCACGTCCATGTCCACGTCCACGTCCACGTCCACGTCTATGTCCACGTCCACGTCCACGTCCACGTCCACGTCCATGTCCACGTCCACGTCCAGGTCTACGTCCAGGTCCACGTCCACGTCCAGGTCCACGTCCACGTCCACGTCCACGTCTATGTCCAGGTCTACGTCCATGTCCACGTCCACGTCCACGTCCATGTCCACGTCCACGTCCACGTCCACGTCCAAGTCCACGTCCACGTCCACGTCCACGTCCACGTCCATGTCCATGTCCACGTCCACGTCCACGTCCACGTCTATGTCCACGTCCACGTCCACGTCCACGTCCATGTCCATGTCCACGTCCACGTCCATGTTCACGTCCCCGTCCACGTCCACGTCCACGTCCATGTCCACGTCCACGTCCACGTCCACGTCCACGTCCATGTCCACGTCCACGTCCACGTCCACGTCCATGTCCATGTCCACGTCCACGTCCATGTCCACGTTTACGTCCATGTCCATGTCCATGTCCACGTCCACGTCCATGTCCACGTCCATGTCCACGTCCACGTCCATGTCCACGTCCACGTCCACGTCCACGTCCATGTCCACGTCCACGTCCATGTCCATGTCCACGTCCACGTCCATGTCCACATCCACGTCCATGTCCATGTCCATGTCCACGTCCACGTCCATCTCCACGTCCATGTCCACGTCCACGTCCATGTCCACGTCCACGTCCACGTCCACGTCCATGTCCACGTCCACGTCCATGTCCACGTCCACGTCCACGTCCACGTCCACGTCCTCCACGTCCACGTCCACGTCCACGTCCACGTCCACGTCCATGTCCACGTCCACGTCCACGTCCATGTCCACGTCCACGTCCATGTCCACGTCCACGTCCATGTCTACGTCCACGTCCACGTCCATGTCCACGTCCACGTCCACGTCCACGTCCACGTCCATGTCCACGTCCACGTCCAAGTCCACGTCCATGTCCACGTCCAAGTCCACGTCCATGTCCACGTCCACGTCCACGTCCATGTCCACGTCCACGTCCACGTCCACGTCCACGTCCATGTCCACGTCCATGTCCACGTCCACGTCCACGTCCACGTCCATGTCCACGTCCACGTCCATGTCCACGTCCACGTCCACGTCCATGTCCACGTCCACGTCCATGTCCACGTCCACGTCCACGTCCACGTCCACGTCCAAGTCCACGTCCATGTCCACGTCCACGTCCACGTCCATGTCCACGTCCACGTCCATGTCCACGTCCACGTCCACGTCCATGTCCACGTCCACGTCCACGTCCACGTCCATGTCCACGTCCACGTCCACGTCCACGTCCCCGTCCACGTCCACGTCCACGTCCATGTCCACGTCCACATCCACGTCCATGTCCACGTCCACGTCCATGTCCACGTCCACGTCCATGTCAATGTCCATGTCCATGTCCATGTCCACGTCCATATCCACGTCCATGTCCACGTCCACGTCCATGTCCACGTGCACGTCCACGTCCACGTCCACGTCCATGTCCATGTCCACGTCCACGTCCATGTCCATGTCCACGTCCACGTCCATGTCCACGTCCACGTCCATGTCCATGTCCATGTCCACGTCCACGTCCATATCCACGTCCATGTCCACGTCCACGTCCATGTCCACGTCCATGTCCACGTCCACGTCCACGTCCATGTCCACGTCCACGTCCATGTCCACGTCCACGTCCATGTCTACGTCCACGTCCACGTCCATGTCCACGTCCACGTCCACGTCCACGTCCACGTCCACGTCCATGTCCACGTCCACGTCCAAGTCCACGTCCATGTCCACGTCCAAGTCCACGTCCATGTCCACGTCCACGTCCACGTCCATGTCCACGTCCACGTCCACGTCCACGTCCACGTCCACGTCCATGTCCACGTCCATGTCCACGTCCACGTCCACGTCCACGTCCATGTCCACGTCCACGTCCATGTCCACGTCCACGTCCACGTCCATGTCCACGTCCACGTCCATGTCCACGTCCACGTCCACGTCCACGTCCACGTCCAAGTCCACGTCCATGTCCACGTCCACGTCCACGTCCATGTCCACGTCCACGTCCATGTCCACGTCCACGTCCACGTCCATGTCCACGTCCACGTCCACGTCCACGTCCCCGTCCACGTCCACGTCCACGTCCATGTCCACGTCCACATCCACGTCCATGTCCACGTCCACGTCCATGTCCACGTCCACGTCCATGTCAATGTCCATGTCCATGTCCATGTCCACGTCCATATCCACGTCCATGTCCACGTCCACGTCCATGTCCACGTGCACGTCCACGTCCACGTCCACGTCCATGTCCATGTCCACGTCCACGTCCATGTCCATGTCCACGTCCACGTCCATGTCCACGTCCACGTCCATGTCCATGTCCATGTCCACGTCCACGTCCATATCCACGTCCATGTCCACGTCCACGTCCATGTCCACGTCCACGTCCACGTCCATGTCCATGTCCACGTCCACCTCCATGTCCACGTCCACGTCCATGTCCACGTCCACGTCCACGTCCATGTCCACATCCACGTCCACGTCCACGTCCACGTCCACGTCCATGTCCACGTCCACGTCCACGTCCATGTCCATGTCCACGCCCACGACCATGTCGACGTCCACGTTTACGTCCACGTCCACGTCCACGTCCATGTCCACGTCCACGTCCACGTCCACGTCCAAGTCCACGTCCACGTCCAAGTCCACGTCCACGTCCACGTCCACGTCCACGTCTACACGTCCACGTCCACGTCCATGTCCACGTCTACGTCCACGTCCACATCCACGTCCACGTCTATGTCCACGTCCACGTCCATGTCCACGTCTACGTCCACGTCCACGTCCACGTCCATGTCCACGTCCACGTCCACGTTCACGTCCCCGTCCACGTCCACGTCCACGTCCATGTCCACGTCCACGTCCACGTCCACGTCTATGTCCACGTCCACGTCCACGTCCACGTCCACGTCCATGTCCACGTCCACGTCCACGTCTACGTCCAGGTCCACGTCCACGTCCAGGTCCACGTCCACGTCCACGTCCACGTCCACGTCTATGTCCAGGTCTACGTCCATGTCCACGTCCACGTCCACGTCCATGTCCATGTCCACGTCCACGTCCACGTCCACGTCCAAGTCCACGTCCACGTCCACGTCCACGTCCACGTCCATGTCCATGTCCACGTCCACGTCCACGTCCACGTCTATGTCCACGTCCACGTCCACGTCCACGTCCATGTCCATGTCCACGTCCACGTCCATGTCCACGTCCCCGTCCACGTCCACGTCCACGTCCACGTCCATGTCCACGTCCACGTCCACGTCCACGTCCACGTCCACGTCCATGTCCACGTCCACGTCCACGTCCACGTCCATGTCCATGTCCACGTCCACGTCCATGTCCACGTTTACGTCCATGTCCATGTCCATGTCCACGTCCACGTCCATGTCCACGTCCATGTCCACGTCCACGTCCATGTCCACGTCCACGTCCACGTCCACGTCCATGTCCACGTCCACGTCCATGTCCATGTCCACGTCCACGTCCATGTCCACATCCACGTCCATGTCCACGTCCACGTCCATCTCCACGTCCATGTCCACGTCCACGTCCATGTCCACGTCCACGTCCACGTCCACGTCCATGTCCACGTCCACGTCCATGTCCACGTCCACGTCCACGTCCACGTCCACGTCCATGTCCACGTCCACGTCCACGTCCACGTCCACGTCCACGTCCATGTCCACGTCCACGTCCATGTCCACGTCCACGTCCACGTCCATGTCCACGTCCACGTCCATGTCCACGTCCACGTCCTTGTCTACGTCCACGTCCACGTCCATGTCCACGTCCACGTCCACGTCCACGTCCACGTCCATGTCCACGTCCACGTCCAAGTCCACGTCCATGTCGACGTCCACGTCCAAGTCCACGTCCATGTCCACGTCCACGTCCACGTCCACGTCCATGTCCACGTCCACGTCCACGTCCACGTCCACGTCCACGTCCATGTCCACGTCCATGTCCACGTCCACGTCCACGTCCACGTCCATGTCCACGTCCACGTCCATGTCCACGTCCACGTCCACGTCCATGTCCACGTCCACGTCCATGTCCACGTCCACGTCCACGTCCACGTCCACGTCCAAGTCCACGTCCATGTCCACGTCCACGTCCACGTCCATGTCCACGTCCACGTCCATGTCCACGTCCACGTCCACGTCCATGTCCACGTCCACGTCCACGTCCACGTCCACGTCCACGTCCACGTCCATGTCCACGTCCACGTCCACGTCCACGTCCCCGTCCACGTCCACGTCCACGTCCATGTCCACGTCCACGTCCACGTCCACGTCTATGTCCACGTCCACGTCCACGTCCACGTCCACGTCCATGTCCACGTCCACGTCCAGGTCTACGTCCAGGTCCACGTCCATGTCCAGGTCCACGTCCACGTCCACGTCCACGTCTATGTCCAGGTCTACGTCCATGTCCACGTCCACGTCCACGTCCATGTCCATGTCCACGTCCACGTCCACGTCCAAGTCCACGTCCACGTCCACGTCCATGTCCATGTCCACGTCCACGTCCACGTCTATGTCCACGTCCACGTCCACGTCCACGTCCATGTCCATGTCCACGTCCACGTCCATGTCCACGTCCCCGTCCACGTCCACGTCCACGTCCACGTCCACGTCCATGTCCACGTCCACGTCCACGTCCACGTCCACGTCCACGTCACGTCCATGTCCACGTCCACGTCCACGTCCATGTCCATGTCCACGTCCACGTCCATGTCCACGTCCACGTCCATGTCCATGTCCATGTCCACGTCCACGTCCATGTCCACGTCCATGTCCACGTCCACGTCCACGTCCGCCTCCACCTTCATGGCAACGTCCCCGTCCACGTCCACGTCCACGTCCATGTCCACGTCCACGTCCACGTCCACGTCTATGTCCACGTCCACGTCCACGTCCACGTCCACGTCCATGTCCACGTCCACGTCCAGGTCTACGTCCAGGTCCACGTCCATGTCCAGGTCCACGTCCACGTCCACGTCCACGTCCACGTCTATGTCCAGGTCTACGTCCATGTCCACGTCCACGGCCGAGTCCACGTCCATGTCCATGTCCACGTCCACGTCCACGTCCACGTCCAAGTCCACGTCCACGTCCACGTCCATGTCCATGTCCACGTCCACGTCCACGTCTATGTCCACGTCCACGTCCACGTCCACGTCCATGTCCATGTCCACGTCCACGTCCATGTCCACGTCCCCGTCCACGTCCACGTCCACGTCCACGTCCACGTCCATGTCCACGTCCACGTCCACGTCCACGTCCACGTCCACGTCCATGTCCACGTCCACGTCCACGTCCACGTCCATGTCCATGTCCACGTCCACGTCCATGTCCACGTCCACGTCCATGTCCATGTCCATGTCCACGTCCACGTCCATGTCCACGTCCATGTCCACGTCCACGTCAATGTCCACGTCCACGTCCACGTCCACGTCCATGTCCACGTCCACGTCCATGTCCATGTCCATGTCCACGTCCACGTCCATCTCCACGTCCATGTCCACGTCCACGTCCATGTCCACGTCCACGTCCACGTCCACGTCCATGTCCACGTCCACGTCCATGTCCACGTCCACGTCCACGTCCACGTCCATGTCCACGTCCACGTCCACGTCCACGTCCACGTCCATGTCCACGTCCACGTCCATGTCCACGTCCACGTCCACGTCCATGTCCACGTCCACGTCCATGTCCACGTCCACGTCCACGTCCATGTCCACGTCCACGTCCACGTCCACGTCCACGTCCACGTCCACGTCCATGTCCACGGCCACGTCCACGTCCACGTCCAAGTCCACGTCCACGTCCACGTCCACGTCCATGTCCACGTCCACGTCCACGTCCACGTCCATGTCTATGTCCACGTCCACGTCCACGTCCACGTCCACGTCCACGTCCATGTCCACGTCCACGTCCACGTCTACGTCCACGTCCCTGTCCACGTCCACGTCCACGTCCATGTCCACGTCCACGTCCACGTCCACGTCCACGTCCACGTCTATGTCCACGTCCACGTTCACGTCCACGTCCATGTCCACGTCCACGCCCACGTCCACGTCCAGGTCCACGTCCACGTCCACGTCCACGTCCACGTCTATGTCCACGTCCACGTCCACGTCCACGTCCATGTCCATGTCCACGTCCACCTCCACGTCCAAGTCCACGTCCACGTCCACGTCCACGTCCATGTCCACGTCCACGTCCACGTCCACGTCCACGTCTATGTCCACGTCCACGTCCACGTCCACGTCCACGTCCCCGTCCACGTCCACGTCCCCGTCCACGTCCATGTCCACGTCCGCGTCCGCGTCCATGTCCACGTCCGCGTCCACGTCCACGTCCACGTCCACATCCACGTCCACGTCCATGTCCACGTCTACGTCCACGTCCACGTCCATGTCCACGTCCACGTCCACGTCCACGTCCACGTCCACGTCCATGTCCACGTCCACGTCCACGTCCACGTCCACGTCCATGTCCACGTCCACGTCCACGTCCACGTCCACGTCCACGTTCACGTCCACGTCCACGTCCACGTCCATGTCCTTCATGTCCACGTCCACGTCCATGTCCACGTCCACGTCCACGTCCACGTCCACGTCCACGACCATGTCCACGTCCATGTCCACGTCCACGTCCACGTCCACGTCCACGTCCACGACCATGTCCACGTCCACGTCCACGTCCATGTCCACGTCCATGTCCACGTCCACGTCCATGTCCATGTCCTCCACGTCCACGTCCACGTCCACGTCCACGTCCACGTCCATGTCCACGTCCAAGTCCACCACGTCCACGTCCACGTCCACCACGTCCACGTCCATGTCCATGTCCACGTCCACGTCCACGTCCACGACCATGTCCACGTCCACGTCCACGACCATGTCTACGTCCACGTCCACGTCCACGTCCACGTCTATGTCCACGTCCACGTCCACGTCCACGTCCACGTCCACGTCCACGTCCACGTCCACGTCCATGTCCACGTCCATGTCCACGTCCACGTCCACGTCCATCTCCACGTCCACGTCCACGTCCACATCCACGTCCACGTCCACGTCCACGTCCACGTCCCCGTCCACGTCCACGTCCCCGTCCACGTCCACGTCCACGTCCGCGTCCACGTCCACGTCCGCGTCCGCGTCCGCGTCGACGTCCGCGTCCACGTCCGCGTCCACGTCCACGTCCACGTCCACGTCCACGTCCACGTCCACGTCCACGTCAACGTCCACGTCCATGTCCACGTCCACGTCCACGTCCACGTCCATGTCCACGTCCACGTCCACGTCCACGTCCACGTCCACGTCGACGTCCACGTCCATGTCCACGTCCAAGTCGTCCACGTCCACGTCCACGTCCACGTCCATGTCCTTCATGTCCACGTCCACGTCCATGTCCACGTCCACGTCCACGTCCACGTCCACGACCATGTCCACGTCCATGTCCACGTCCACGTCCACGTCCACGTCCACGTCCACGACCATGTCCACGTCCACGTCCACGTCCATGTCCACGTCCATGTCCACGTCCACGTCCATGTCCACGTCCTCCACGTCCACGTCCACGTCCACGTCCACGTCCACGTCCATGTCCACGTCCAAGTCCACCACGTCCACGTCCACGTCCACGTCCACGTCCACGTCCCCGTCCACGTCCACGTCCCCGTCCACGTCCATGTCCACGTCCGCGTCCGCGTCCATGTCCACGTCCGCGTCCACGTCCACGTCCACGTCCACGTCCACGTCCACGTCCACGACCATGTCCACGTCCACGTCCACGTCCACGTCCACGACCATGTCCACGTCCACGTCCACGTCCACGTCCACGTCTATGTCCACGTCCACGTCCACGTCCACGTCCACGTCCATCTCCACGTCCATGTCCACGTCCACGTCCACGTCCATCTCCACGTCCACGTCCACGTCCACGTCCACGTCCACGTCCACGTCCACGTCCACGTCCACGTCCGCGTCTGCGTCCGCGTCTGCGTCCACGTCCCTGTCCACGTCCACGTCCATGTCCTTCATGTCCACGTCCACGTCCACGTCCACGTCCATGTCCTTCATGTCCACGTCCACGTCCACGTCCACGTCCACGTCCACATCCACGTCCATCTCCACGTCCACGTCCACGTCCACGTCCACGTCCACGTCCACGTCCACATCCACGTCCATCTCCACGTCCACGTCCACGTCCACGTCCACGTCCATCTCCACGTCCACGTCCACGTCCACGTCCATGTCCACGTCCACGTCCACGTCCACGTACACATCCACGTCTATGTCCACGTCCATGTCCACGTCCATGTCCATGTCCACGTCCACGTCCACGTCCACGTCCACGTCCACGTCCACGTCCATGTCCACGTCCACGTCCACGACCACGTCCACGTCCACGTCCACGCCCGCGGACGCGGACGCGGTCCACGTCCATGTCCACGTCCACGTCCACGTCCACGTCCACGTCCACGTCCACATCCACGTCCACGTCCACGTCCATGTCGTCCACGTCCACGTCCACGTCCACGTCCACGTCCACGTCCACGTCCATGTCCACGTCCACGTCCACGTCTACGTCAACGTCCACGTCCATGTCCACGTCCACGTCCACGTCCACGTCTACGTCCACGTCTACGTCCACGTCCACGTCCATGTCCACGTCCACGTCCACGTCCACGTCCACGTCTACGTCCACGTCCACGTCTACGTCCACGTCCATGTCCACGTCCACGTCCACGTCCACGTCCACATCCACGTCCATCTCCACGTCCACGTCCACGTCCACGTCCACGTCCACGTCCATCTCCACGTCCACGTCCACGTCCACGTCCATGTCCACGTCCACGTCCACGTCCACGTACAGGTCCACGTCTATGTCCACGTCCATGTCCACGTCCATGTCCATGTCCACGTCCACGTCCACGTCCACGTCCACGTCCACGTCCACGTCCATGTCCACGTCCACGTCCACGACCACGTCCACGTCCACGTCCACGTCCGCGGACGCGGACGCGGTCCACGTCCATGTCCACGTCCACGTCCACGTCCACGTCCACGTCCACGTCCACATCCACGTCCACGTCCACGTCCACGTCCATGTCGTCCACGTCCACGTCCACGTCCACGTCCACGTCCACGTCCATGTCCACGTCCACGTCCACCTCTACGTCAACGTCCACGTCCATGTCCACGTCCACGTCCACGTCTACGTCCACGTCTACGTCCACGTCCACGTCCATGTCCACGTCCACGTCCACGTCCACGTCCACGTCTACGTCCACGTCCACGTCTACGTCCACGTCCATGTACACGTCCACGTCCACGTCCACGTCCACGTCCATGTACACGTCCACGTCCACGTCCACGTCCACGTCCACGTCCACGACCATGGCCACGTCCATGTCCGTCCACGTCCACGTCCACGACCATGGCCACGTCCATGTCCATCCATGTCCACGTCCACGTCCACGTCCACGTCCACGTCCAGGTCCACGTCTACGTCCACGTCCACGTCCACGTCCACGTACACGTCCATGTCCACGTCCACGTCCACGTCCACGTCCACGTCTGTGGAAACAAAGAACGAGAATGGAATGACTATGAACGAAGTGAGTACAAATAGGAAACCCTAATTGGGTTGTACCCCCTATGGGATACCCCACTATAGCCTACAGAAACAAGTAAGCTATAAGTTCTGACACACCCCCATAGGCAAAGTGGGGGAGAACAAGGGGTCACAAGACCAGTCAAGCAAAGCAAAGCAAAGCTCAGGGTGGATCACAAAGTCACGACGCATTCCGAGCACAAGTTCAAAGGCCACAAGGCCAGTTCACATGCAAGATCATATATAGAGATATACAAAAAACAAGAGTATATATATGCGAAAGTACAAGCAAGGTCAAGAGGAGAGCAAGTGAGGCAAGACAGGCACAAGACCCAACTGCGTGCAGCAACGCTGATGATCACAAGGCGCAAGTGCCTTGGTGAAGACATCAGCAGTGTTGGCCTCAGAGGCCACGTACGCAAGTCGCAGCTGTCCACGCTGCTGTAGCTCACGAGCAAGAAAGTAACGAAGAGCAATGTGCTTCGTTCTGTGCTCCAGTCGCTGCTCTCGACACAAGGCCAGCATGGCCTTGTTGTCTACGTACAGGACTGGAGGAGAACGAGGCTGCTCTCCAAGGTCGGTCAGCAGGTAGGTGAGCCAGCGTAACTCCTGTGCAGCCATAGCCCCAGCGTAGATCTCAGCCTCACAACTGGAGCCGAGAACAGAAGACGAGCGGGTAGCCCGCCACGAGACAGAGCCGGAACCAAGGCTGAAGGTGTAACCCTGTGACGACCGCTGCGTAGCCTGGTCGTCAGCCCAAGAAGCGTCTGCGTGCCCAGTGAGGACCACTGGACTGCGCCCTCCAAGCACTAGCCCCATGCCCGACGTACTGCACAAGTAGCGCAACACCCTCTTCGCTGCAGCCATGTGCTCTGGTCGGTGTCTCCCAGGAGCAACATAGCGTGCGAGAATGCTAAGAGGGTATGCGAGGTCAGGTCGTGTGCAGGTCATCAGGTACATGAGGCAGCCAACAAGCTCTGCAAACGGGCCACTCGACTCTACGGACTCATCCGAAGGCAGAGCTGAGAGCGAGTGGCGAGTAGGCAGAGGAGTGGCCTGAGGCGAGGAGTACGTGAAGCCGAAGCGCTGAAGGACCTGCTGCACCATGTGTGACTGAGTCAGGGTAATGGTGCGGCGTGCTCTGTCCCGGGTGATCTGCAAGCCAAGGTAGCTGCGCAGTTCACCCAGGTCAGTGCACGTGTGTCTCTTCTGCAGCTCGGACTTCACGTAGGCGAGTCCAGCAGTGTCAGCTGTGGCAAAGACCAAGTCGTCGACGTACACGAGGATGTAGAACGGCGGCAGAGAGGTGTCGGTGCGCAGAAACAGCGACGGGTCGGCAGTGGAAGGAGCAAACCCAAGTGCCGCCAGCGTAGTCCTCAGTGTGTCGTGCCACTCACGTGGCGCCTGGCGGAGACCGTAGACTGGACGCCGGAGACTCCACTGGGTACCAGGAGGGAAAGACCCAGTGAAGCCAGGTGGGCGACGCAGCCAGATCTCCTCGTGCAGGCTGCCCTGCAAGAAAGCTGTGCTGAAGTCGAGAGAGTGCAGCTCGTAGTCACGGTGAGCAGCAACGTGTAGCAGAACCCGAAGAGTGGTCATCTTCGGGGTGGGGGAGAAGGTCTGAAAGTAGTCAACCCCCTGCCGCTGACTGAAGCCACGAGCCACGTAACGCGCCTTGAAGACAGGCGGAGAGCCCGGCGGCCGCTTCACCCTGAAAATCCACATGCCACTGACGATGTTCGCCCCAGGAGGGGGAACAGCGTCAACGTAGGTGCCTGTGGACTTCCAGGAAGCCATCTCTGCATCCATAGCTGCCTGCCACTGAGAGGAGTAGGGACCCTCTATCGCCTCCGCGTAAGAGCGCGGAGTCGGGATGTCTGGTGCATCCGGGTCTCCCTCAGGGGCTAGCAGTACAGACGCGAGACGAGGTGAAGCGGCGGCCAGACACTGGAACTCCTCCTGCCTGTCCTCAAGGACGTCCGTGCCAAGGGCACACTCACCCCCGACGGACGGAGGACAGGCGGACTCAGACTCAGTGACAAGACGAGCAGCGTAGTCTAGACGACAGCGCGCAGCAAAGTCGACAAGCTCAGTGACAAGGGCAGACGCAGCAGACGACTCGAAGGAGGGGTCAGTGACAGCAGTAGCCAGGAGACGCGTGACAGTAGGACTGGCAGCACGAAGGGCGTCCGACTCCGGGTCGGCAAGAGCAGGAAGAGAGGAAGCAGGAGGAGAAGGCAAAGGGGCACGCAGAGGAGCAGTGGACGGACGCAGGGACATCCGGTGCGTGCCAGGGACAGGAGGAGGACGCTGACGCGACCCGCGACCACTAGCGCGCTCAGTACGAACAGGCGACACAGGACGAGACGCAGGCTCACGACGCTCAGTAAGACCTCCAGTCGGACCAGCGTAGGGAGAAGGAGCAGGCAAAGGGGAGGCAGGCTGTAGCTGTGGCTGTGACCGGACAGGCTGCGGACCCTCTAAGGGAGGAGGAGGAGGTGTAAGACCAAGAACCTGCTGCAGGAGCGGAACGAAGTACGGTCGGGGCCGCGCGGCGACGCTAGAAACAGCAGGAACAGCACCAGCAGCCCCGGCAGGAGCACCCACTCCAGTAGCACCTCCAGCAGCACCACCAGAAGCTCCAGAACCTCCAGCCGCAGCACCAGGAGCACTGTCAGTCGGGCCGCCAACGGCAGGCTCAGCACCAACACCCTCAGCAGGACCAGCTCCAGGAGAACTCTCAGACTCAGCAGCTCCAGCACCCACAGTACGAGCGCCGGCGGGGCGCGCAGCAGCAGTACCCTCTGCAGCCGAAGAACCACCAGCACCAGCAGCACGCCTCCAGCGCCCGGCAAACCACTCACGCAGCTCCTGTGGGGAGAGTGGCTCCCGGCGAGACGAAGCACCCCCAGGCACAGCACCTCCAGGCTCAGCACCCCTAGACACAGCACCCCCAGGCACGTCACCCCCAGGCTCAGCACCCCCAGGCTCAGCAACCCTAGGCTCAGCACCCCCAGGCTCAGCACCCCCAGGCACAGCACCCCCAGACTCGGCACCTCCAGGCACAGCACCCCCAGGCTCAGCACCCCCAGGCTCAGCACCCCCAGACTCGGCACCTCCAGGCTCAGCACCCCCAGACTCCGCACCCCCAGGCTCAGCTCCCGCAGCAGCACCAGAGTCACCAGTGACCTCGACAGGCTCGACCGCGTCTACCTGGGACACACCTGAAGGGGCAGGACCCTGAGGGGGGAGGGGGACTACCGGGGGGGGACCTGGTACCAAGAAGAGCGGGGGTGGGGGGAGGGACGGAGTGCGGTAGGGGAAGAGGCGGTAGTAGGGTACCGACTCGTCGAACGTGACGTCCTGGGAGGACAGAACACGTCGAGAGGTGGGGTGGTAAAACTGCCACCCAGGGGCGTCGGGGGGGAACCCCAGGAAGACGCAGGGAGAAGCACGAGGGGATAGCTTGTCCGCAGACAGGTCGCGAACAAACGCCCGAGATCCCCAGACCCGGAACGCCGACGCATCGCCAACCTTCCCCGTCCACAGCAGGGCTGGGGAGGTCTCCGGTCGAGAGACCCTGGGGTGGAGGTTGATCTGGTGCGCAGCGTACCTGACCGCAAACGGCCACAGAAAATGGGGAGCAGCCGCATGCATCATGGACGTACGAGCGACGTCCATTACCATGCCAATGCGGCGCTCAGCAATCCCATTCTGCTGCGGTGAGTCCGGAAGCGTGAAGGTCTGACGGATGCCTCGCGCACGACAGTAGGCACTCAGGAGGCCAGAGGAGAACTCTCCGCCTCTGTCCGAGTGCAGACGCAAAACAGGGAAGTCAGAGCCAAAGCTCCTCCGAAGCTGGAGACGAGCTGCGCGGATCCAGTCGATCAACACCGCAGTGACCTCACCCTTGCTGCGCAAGGGGAAGACTGTGGTGTAACGCGAGTAGTCGTCAACCACCAGCAGGAAGTAGCGCTCCTGACCCTGTCCACGGACGCGGGCTGGGCCCCACACATCCATGTGAAGCGTCTGCAACGGGGCCTCTGTCGGAGGAAACTGGGAGGAGTGAGGGGCAGCACGCTGGCGCCCCTCGACACAGGGGACACAGGTGGGGCCAGGGCCCGGAGGAAGGGGAGGGAGAGATCGGGGAAGACCAGACACAAGGACTCGCGAGGCCATGCCTCTGAGCCGAAGCAGAGAGGGGTGGCCAAGGCGGTGGTGCCAGAGGAGGGTCTCGTGAGACAAACGACGGCACGAGCAGGGGGCAGACTCAGGACCAGACCTGGACGCTGCAGCAAACACCTGACCAGACGAAGTGACCCTACCAGACTCAGCACCTGGAGGAGAAGCAGTGGTCAGAGTGTACAGGCTCGACCCTGGCCGACGTGTAAACGTAGCCAGGTGGCGACCTGTATCCGCCTCCGTGCAGTGGGTCACCCGCTGACGAGCAGGGGTGAACTGGTGGACACCCGCATCCTGGAGGTCAGCACCACTCACCAAGTTCGTCGAGAACGAGGGGAGGTAGAGACCAGTCAGGGTGCCAGAGGGGGCCGCCGGACACGGGAGGACAGTGGAGAAGCGAGACAGGACAGGCCCCCCAGAGGGGTCAGCCAGGGACACCGCAACCGGCCGACTCAGCGGCGTGAGAGTGGTGCGGTCCCGAAAGAAGGAGCGAGACGCTCCAGAGTCAAGGGTGAAGGTGTGAGAGGCCGAAGCCGACACAGTACCTGAGAGGGCAGACTCACCAGCACCTGAGAGCACAGACGCACTGGCACCTAGAGCAGCAGCCTCACTAGTACCTGACGCGGCAGTACCAATGCCCGGGTCGGGCGGGAAACACCGGTAACAGTCATCCTCATCACTACCAATCGCAGCATACATAGCAGAGAGAATAGCATCAAAATCAAGATCATAAATAGCTACACCAGCCCTAGACAGCTCTCCCCAGCGGGGGATCTCAGCTGCCTCCGGAAACTGCTGACGCCAGGCGTCAGTCAGGCGGCCAAAGCAGCGGCGGGCAGTGTGGGCGCCTCCACACCTCTCCCCTGCACGGTCACCGGTGCGGAGAACGTAGGGGCAAGGACCAAGCGCACCACCACGCTGACGCTGCGAGTACCACTCACGGAGCTGCTGAGGGGCGGGGACGGTGCGAGAGCGCTGCTGCTGCTGTGGCTGCTGCTGCGGCTGCTGCTGCTGTTGCTGCTGGCGCTGACCACCCCCGGAGCTGCTCCGCTGGGACGAGCCACTCCGACCCCCGCCTCCACTGCCACCCCCGCCTCCACCGCCACCCCCGTCTCCACCTCCACCTCCCCCACCAGGACCGTCGCTCCCACCGCTCCCACCGCCTCCTCCGCTACCACCTCCGCCGCCACCTCCGCCTCCACCGCCGCCACCAGTACCTCCACTTCCGCCACCACCCCCACCGCCACCCCCACTCCCCCCGCCACCCCCACCGCCTCCTCCACCGCCCCCTCTAGCTCCACCCGCTCCCTTGCCCCCCTTGCCCTTGCCAGCGCGGCGTCTGCCGCTGGGGGCAGACGCCGCGCCGACCGACTCAAAACCAGTGAGGTCGGCCGCAGCGGCAGAGGCGACAGAGGGCAGCAGGGGGGAAGGACCACACCCCTCAAAGATAGGGGTGCGAGGGTCACCCCGAGAGGCCCCTACAGCGACAATACTCTTCTCAGCCGCTAGCAGGGACTCCTCAAGGAGGTCGACAGTGAGAGTGGTGGGACAGACAGAGAGAAACTGGTCCCTAACGACACGAAGGGACTCAGGGAGACGGGTGACGAGAAAGTAGAGAGTGATGTACATGGGAGGAGGGTTCGCAGCGCGGAACTCAGCAGGAAGGGCAGCGCGGTAGCGGGTGTCACTAGCACGGAGGTGGGTAATGAGGTCAGCGACAGTGGGAAAGGAAGCGAGGTCAGGGAAGAGAAACGGTAGCATGAGGCGGCTAAGGGTAGCGGAGGAAGGGGAGGAGTAGCGTGCAACTACAGCGTCGTACAAGGCCTGAGCGGTCTTGCACTGACTAAAGTGGGCACGCTCAGAGGAAGGGAGGTGGCGACGCACAGCAAGACGTGCAGCAGCATCGCGGGTCGCCCACTTGGAGCGAACGGCAGAGTCAGCATCAGCAGGTGGGGCAGGGACAGCGCCAGAGACAAAGTCAAAGAGAGAGACCTCATCTATCGCATCACACAGTAAGTACAGCTGCAGGTCTTCAATCCAGACGGCAAAGTCAATGGCCCTCCCCTCAGCGTCAAAGGTAAGAACATTGGGGGTGGCCATGACAGCAGCTGAAAATCTCACCGGGCTGGGAGAGGCGGGTAGGTCAGCAGCAGAGGAACAGCAGCACGGCTCCGCAGGCGGCTCGGGCGGCGCGGGCGGCTCGGCGGCGGCTCGGGCGGCGGCTCGGCGGCGGTTCGGCGGCGGCTCGGCGGCGGCTCGGCGGCGGCTCAGGCGGCGGCGGCTCGGCGGCGGCTCGGCTGCTGCTGGGCGGCGCGGGCGGCTCGGGCGTCACGGGCGGCTCGGCGGCGGCTCTGGCGGCTCGGCGGCGGCTCGGGCGGCGGCTCGGCGGCGGCTCGGCGACGGCTCGGCGGCGGCTCGGCGGCGGCTCAGGCGGCGGCGGCTGCTGCTGGGCGGATCGGCGGGGCCGCGTAGCAGAGTGGCGGCGGGGCCGCGACCGAAGAGAGCGGCGGGGCCGCGTAGCAGAGGGCGGCGGGGCCGCGTAGCAGAGGGCGGCGGGGCCGCGTAGCAGAGGGCGGCGGGGCCGCGTAGCAGAGGGCGGCGGGGCCGCGACCGAAGAGAGCGGCGGGGCCGCGTAGCAGGGGGCGGCGGGGCCGCGTAGCAGAGGGCGGCGAGGCCGCGTAGCAGAGGGCGGCGGGGCCGCGATCGAAGGGCGGCGGGGCCGCGTAGCAGAGGGCGGCGGGGCCGCGTAGTAGAGGGCGGCGGGGCCGCGTGGCAAAGGGCGGCGGGGCCGCGATCGAAGGGCGGCGGGGCCGCGTAGCAGAGGGCGGCGGGGCCGCGTAGCAGAGGGCGGCGGGGCCGCGTAGCAGAGGGCGGCGGGGCCGCGAGGCAGAGGGCGGCGGGGCCGCGTAGCCGAGGGCGGCGGGGCCGCGATCGAAGGGCGGCGGCGGGGCCGCGTAGCAGAGGGCGGCGGGGCCGCGATCGAAGGGCGGCGGGGCCGCTAGGGAAGGGCGGCGGAGCCGCGAGGGGAAGGGCGGCGCAACGGTCCGCTAGGGGCGACACGACGGGTCGCTAAAAAAAAAACGCGCCTCGGGGCGCGGTTCGGTGGGCCCTAGAAGGGAACCTGCTCTGATTCCATGTGGAAACAAAGAACGAGAATGGAATAACTATGAACGAAGTGAGTACAAATAGGAAACCCTAATTGGGTTGTACCCCCTATGGGATACCCCACTATAGCCTACAGAAACAAGTAAGCTATAAGTTCTGACAACGTCCACGTCCACGTCCAGGTCCACGTCCACGTCCACGTCCACGTCCACGTCCACATCCACGTCCAACTCCACGTCCACGTCCACGTCCACGTCCACCTCCGAGTCCACGTCCACCTCCACGTCCACGTCCACGTCCACGTCCATGTCCACGTCCACCTCCACGTCCACGTCCACGTCCACGTCCACGTCCAAGTCCACCTCCACGTCCACGTCCACGTCCACGTCCACGTCCACAACCACGTCCACGTCCAGGTCCACGTCCACGTCCACGTCCACGTTTACGTCCACGTCCAGGTCCACGTCCAGGTCCACGTCCACGTTTACGTCCACATCCACGTCCATGTCCAGGTCCACGTCCACGTCCACGTCCACGTCCACGATCACGTCCACGTCCACGTCCACGTCCACGTCCACAATCATGTCCACGTCCACGACCATGTCTTCGTCCACGTCCACGTCCACGTCCACGTCCACGACCATGTCTTCGTCCACGTCCACGTCCACGTCCACGTCCACGACCATGTCTTCGTCCACGTCCACGTCCACGTCCACATCCACGTCCATGTCCTCGTCCAAGTCCTCCACGTCCACGTCCACGTCCACGTCCACGTCCATGTCCACGTCGTCCACGTCCACGTCCATGTCCACGTCCTCCACGTCCACGTCCATGTCCACGTCCTCCACATCCACGTCCACCTCCACGTCCACGTCCACATCCACGACCACGTCCATGTCCACGTCCTTGTCCACGTCCACGTCAACGTCCACGTCCACGTCCACGTCCACGTCCACGTCCACGTCCATGTCCACGTCCACGTCCACGTCCACGTCCACGTCCACGTCCATGTCCACGTCCATGTCCACGTCCACGTCCATGTCCACGTCCACGTCCACGTCCACGTCCACTAGAGGGAATCTAACGGTCTCACTCGATCAGAAGGTGGGAAATATATAAATCTAGTCAGCTAAAAAGGTTTGAAATTTATTCAACGCACATGTATAGAGAAAATGGTGCATTGGCCAGGTCGGTCAGTATGGGAACTTAGAGTGCAAATGCCTGGGAGAACGGAACCGCTCAGATCTCGCATAGTACACGGAATCTAGTGGTCTCACTCGAATAGAATGTAGGAAATATATTCATCTTGTGAACGTAAGGGTTTGAAAGGTAACTAACGCACATGTGTAGAGAAAATGGTGCATCGGCCAGTCTGGCCGGCATTTCGCACTCATAGTGCAGGTGGGGCCACGGAGAACGGAAACGCTCGTTTCTCAAAAAGTAGAGGGAATCTAACGGTCTCACTCGATCAGAAGGTGGGAAATATATAAATCTAGTCAGCTAAAAAGGTTTGAAATGTATTCAACGCACATGTATATGGAAAATGGTGCATTGGCCAGGTCGGTCAGTATGGGAACTTAGAGTGCAAATGCCAGGGAGAACGGAAGCGCTCAGATCTCGCATAGTACACGGAATCAAGTGGTCTCACTCAAATATAAGGTAGGAAATATATTCATCTAGTGAACGTAAGGGTTTGAAAGGTAACTAACGCACATGTGTAGAGAAAATGGTGCATCGGCCAGTCAGGCCGGCATTTCGCACTCATAGTGCAGGTGGGGCCAGGGAGAACGGAAACGCTCGTTTCTCAAAAAGTAGAGGGAATCTAACGGTCTCACTCGATCAGAAGGTGGGAAATATATAAATCTAGTCAGTTAAAAAGGTTTGAAATGTATTCAACGCACATGTATAGAGAAAATGGTGCATTGGCCAGGTTGGTCAGTATCGGAACTTAAACTGCAAATGCCAGGGAGAACGGAAGCGCTCAGATCTCGCATAGTACACGGAATCAAGTGGTCTCACTCAAATAGAAAGTAGGAAATATATTCATCTAGTGAACGTAAGGGTTTGAAAGGTAACTAACGCACATGTGTAGAGAAATGGTGCATCGGCCAGTCTGGCCGGCATTTCGCACTTATAGTGCAAGTAGGGCCAAGTAGAACGGAAACGCTCATTTCTCAAAAACTAAAGGGAATCTAGCGGTCTCACTCAATCAGAAGGTGGGAAATATATAAATTTAGTGAGCTAATAAGGTTCGGAAGGAATCTAATGCATATGTATATGGAAAATGGTGCATTGGCCAGGTCGGTCAGTATGGGAACTTAGAGTGCAAATGCCAGGGAGAACGGAAGCGCTCAGATCTCGCAGAGTACACAGAATCTAGTGGTCTCACTCAAATAGAAGGTAGGAAATAAATTCATCTAGTGAACGTAAGGGTTTGAAAGGTAACTAACGCACATGTGTAGAGAAAATGGTGCATCGGCCAGTCTGGCCGGCATTTCGCACTTTTAGTGCAAGTAGGGCCAAGGAGAACGGAAACGCTCATTTCTCAAAAAGTAAAGGGAATCTAGCACTCTCACTCGATCAGAAGGTGGGAAATATATAAATCTAGTGAGCTAATAAGGTTCGGAAGGAATCTAATGCATATGTATATGGAAAGTGGTGCATTGGCCAGGTCGGTCAGTATGGGAACTTAGAGTGCAAATGCCAGGGAGAACGGAAGCGCTCAGATCTCGCATAGTACACGGAATCAAGTGGTCTCACTCAAATATAAGGTAGGAAATATATTCATCTAGTGAACGTAAGGGTTTGAAAGGTAACTAACGCACATGTGTAGAGAAAATGGTGCATCGGCCAGTCAGGCCGGCATTTCGCACTCATAGTGCAGGTGGGGCCAGGGAGAACGGAAACGCTCGTTTCTCAAAAAGTAGAGGGAATCTAACGGTCTCACTCGATCAGAAGGTGGGAAATATATAAATCTAGTCAGCTAAAAAGGTTTGAAATGTATTCAACGCACATGTATAGAGAAAATGGTGCATTGGCCAGGTCGGTCAGTATCGGAACTTAAAATGCAAATGCCAGGGAGAACGGAAGCGCTCAGATCTCGCATAGTACACGGAATCAAGTGGTCTCACTCAAATAGAAAGTAGGAAATATATTCATCTAGTGAACGTAGGTAACTAACGCACATGTGTAGAGAAAATGGTGCATCGGCCAGTCTGGCCGGCATTTCGCACTTATAGTGCAACTAGGGCCAAGGAGAACGGAAACGCTCATTTCTCAAGAAGTAGAGGGAATCTAGCGGTCTCACTCGATCATAAGGTGGGAAATATATAAATCTAGTGAGCTAATAAGGTTTGAAAGGAATCTAATGCATATGTATATGGAAAATGGTGCATTGGCCAGGTCGGTCAGTATGGGAACTTCGAGTGCAAATGCCAGGGAAAACGGAACCGCTCAGATCTCGCATAGTACACGGAATCTAGTGGTCTCACTCAAATAGAAGGTAGGAGATAAATTCATCTAGTGAACGTAAGGGATTGAAAGGTAACTAACGCACATGTGTAGAGAAGATGGTGCATCGGCCAGTCTGGCCGGCATTTCGCACTTATAGTGCAAGTAGGGCCAAGGAGAACGGAAACGCTCATTTCTCAAAAAGTAAAGGGAATCTAGCGGTCTCACTCGATCAGAAGGTGGGAAATATATAAATCTAGTGAGCTAATAAGGTTCGGAAGGAATCTAATGCATATGTATATGGAAAGCGGTTCATTGGCTAGGTCGGTCAGTATGGGAACTTAGAGTGCAAATGCCAGTGAGAACGAAACCGCTCAGATCTCGCATAGTATACGGAATCTAGTGGTCTCACTCAAATGGAAGATAGGAAATAAATTCATCTAGTGAACGTAAGGGTTTGAAAGGTAACTAACGCACATGTGTAGAGAAAATGGTGCATCGGCCAGTCTGGCCGGCATTTCGCACTCATAGTGCAGGTGGGGCCAGGGAGAACGGAAACGCTCGTTTCTCAAAAACTAGAGGGAATCTAACGGTCTCACTCGATCAGAAGGTGGGAAATATATAAATCTAGTCAGCTAAAAAGGTTTGAAATGTATTCAACGCACATGTATAGAGAAAATGGTGCATTGGCCAGGTCGGTCAGTATCGGAACTTAAAATGCAAATGCCAGGGAGAACGGAAGCGCTCAGATCTCGCATAGTACACGGAATCAAGTGGTCTCACTCAAATAGAAAGTAGGAAATATATTCATCTAGTGAACGTAGGTAACTAACGCACATGTGTAGAGAAAATGGTGCATCGGCCAGTCTGGCCGGCATTTCGCACTTATAGTGCAACTAGGGCCAAGGAGAACGGAAACGCTCATTTCTCAAGAAGTAGAGGGAATCTAGCGGTCTCACTCGATCATAAGGTGGGAAATATATAAATCTAGTGAGCTAATAAGGTTTGAAAGGAATCTAATGCATATGTATATGGAAAATGGTGCATTGGCCAGGTCGGTCAGTATGGGAACTTAGAGTGCAAATGCCAGGGAAAACGGAACCGCTCAGATCTCGCATAGTACACGGAATCTAGTGGTCTCACTCAAATAGAAGGTAGGAGATAAATTCATCTAGTGAACGTAAGGGATTGAAAGGTAACTAACGCACATGTGTAGAGAAGATGGTGCATCGGCCAGTCTGGCCGGCATTTCGCACTTATAGTGCAAGTAGGGCCAAGGAGAACGGAAACGCTCATTTCTCAAAAAGTAAAGGGAATCTAGCGGTCTCACTCGATCAGAAGGTGGGAAATATATAAATCTAGTGAGCTAATAAGGTTCGGAAGGAATCTAATGCATATGTATATGGAAAGCGGTTCATTGGCTAGGTCGGTCAGTATGGGAACTTAGAGTGCAAATGCCAGTGAGAACGAAACCGCTCAGATCTCGCATAGTATACGGAATCTAGTGGTCTCACTCAAATGGAAGATAGGAAATAAATTCATCTAGTGAACGTAAGGGTTTGAAAGGTAACTAACGCACATGTGTAGAGAAAATGGTGCATCGGCCAGTCTGGCCGGCATTTCGCACTCATAGTGCAGGTGGGGCCAGGGAGAACGGAAACGCTCGTTTCTCAAAAACTAGAGGGAATCTAACGGTCTCACTCGATCAGAAGGTGGGAAATATATAAATCTAGTCAGCTAAAAAGGTTTGAAATGTATTCAACGCACATGTATAGAGAAAATGGTGCATTGGCCAGGTCGGTCAGTATCGGAACTTAAAATGCAAATGCCAGGGAGAACGGAAGCGCTCAGATCTCGCATAGTACACGGAATCAAGTGGTCTCACTCAAATAGAAAGTAGGAAATATAATCATCTAGTGAACGTAAGGGTCTGAAAGGTAACTAACGCACATGTTTAGAGAAAATTGTGCATCGGCCAGTCTGGCCGGCATTTCGCACTTATAGTGCAACTAGGGCCAAGGAGAACGGAAACGCTCATTTCTCAAAAAGTAGAGGGAATCTAGCGGTCTCACTCGATCAGAAGGTGGGAAATATATAAATCTAGTGAGCTAATAAGGTTCGAAAGGAATCTAATGCATATGTATACGGAAAATGGTGCATTGGCCAGGTCGGTCAGTATGGGAACTTAGAGTGCAAATGCCAGGGAGAACGGAAGCGCTCAGATCTCGCATAGTACACGGAATCTAGTGGTCTCACTCAAATAGAAGGTAGGAAATAAATTCATCTAGTGAACGTAAGGGTTTGAAAGGTAAATAACGCACATGTGTAGAGAAAATGGTGCATCGGCCAGTCTGGCCGGCATTTCGCACTTTTAGTGCAAGTAGGGCCAAGGAGAACGGAAACGCTCATTTCTCAAAAAGTAAAGGGAATCTAGCGGTCTCACTCGATCAGAAGGTGGGAAATATATAAATCTAGTGAGCTAATAAGGTTCGGAAGGAATCTAATGCATATGTATATGGAAAGTGGTGCATTGGCCAGGTCGGTCAGTATGGGAACTTAGAGTGCAAATGCCTGGGAGAACGGAACCGCTCAGATCTCGCATAATACACGGAATCTAGTGGTCTCACTCAAATATAAGGTAGGAAATAAATTCATCTAGTGAACATAAGGGTTTGAAAGGTAACTAACGCACATGTGTAGAGAAAATGGTGCATCGGCCAGTCTGGCCGGCATTTCGCACTCATAGTGCAGGTGGGGCCAGGGAGAACGGAAACGCTCGTTTCTCAAAAAGTAGAGGGAATCTAACGGTCTCACTCGATCAGAAGGTGGGAAATATATAAATCTAGTCAGCTAAAAAGGTTTGAAATGTATTCAACGCACATGTATAGAGAAAATGGTGCATTGGCCAGGTCGGTCAGTATCGGAACTTAAAATGCAAATGCCA